CCTTTAGCTGTCTGGTGGAGTCTTCATGCATCTGTCCCCAGATGTCCTGTTCCAGCAGGAGGGCAGGATCTTTTATCTGGATCCACAATCTCTTCACCTGATGGCACGGCTGAGTAGTCATGTTCTTCATCTGTGTAGGATCTCGTAATTAAATTGCAAGAACAGTCTACCAGAACTGTTACCATCTAAAGTGGTTCTGATTTCAGATTTGGATGAAGGGGTGGTCTGATTCTCCTGTATCTGGTTCCATTCCTTGTGTTCTGGAATACCTCATGTACTTAGAAAATCAGGGGTTATCCCCATCATCATTAAAGATTCACTTGGCAGCCATCTCTGCATACCGCTGTCTGTCTGACTGTAGATCACTGTTTGCTCATTGTTTAGTTAAAAGATCTATATGAAAGGTTTATCAAACGTGTATTCCTTCGTTAGGGATCCCCTTCCTTCTTGGGATCGCAATATGATGTTGGCGAAATCGCCCTTTGAACCCTTGGCTGAGTGTTCTGTTCCATTTAGCTATTAAGATAGCTTTCATTATTGCCATCACATCAGCCAGGAGAGTGAGTGAATGATGCCCACCTTTCGTTTCTTTTCATACAGACAAGGTAGTTCTCAGACCTGATCTCAGATTTTTACCTAAGGTAGTGTCTGATTTCCACATCAATCAAACCATTCATTTGCCTTTTTTTCTTCCTCTAAGCCTCACTCTAATAAGGAGGAATCAGTTCTACACACTTTGGATGTTAGAAGGGCTCTTGCCTATTCCTTGGACAAAACTAAAAGTATTTGTAAATTACCTATATTGTTTTTCTTATGCCAAGAACCACAAAGAATATATGGTTTCTTCCTAGACCCTTTCTCAGTGGATTAAACAACGTGTCGCTGAGTGCTCCATGCTAGTGAAAATCCCTTTACTTGCTGTAATTCAACCACATAAGAGCTCTGGTGGCTACTTCCTTTGCCTGTCTTGGGCAAGTGCCGGTTGCTGAAATATTCAAGGCTGCAACATACTTTCACCAAGCACTATGATCTGGACTTCTAGGATGGACACCAGATTCAGTAAGGCAGCGCTTTAGTCTCTATTCAGCTAGGACTCTGTCCCCACCTCCAGGTTAGTTTTCAGCACTTCTTATCAGTCTATCAAGGTAACCTTCATTTCTTTGAGATGGGTCTGCATATTCACACTTCCCATCTGCCTTCCTCTCTCTATCAAAGTCCTTGTCATTCTGTGTCTTTGGCTTTGCAGTGAACGGATCTGGGGTGGTGAGAATGCGCCACCCCTTTTATAGCATCGCCCTTGGTAAGCTGTAATGCTGAGGGGAGGGGTGAGATGGGGGTGCGGGAACACTCTAGCTGACTGCTAGAAGAGCTTTTTACCGTAAGGCTCCCCAAGGTTGGCTCAGTACCCATAAGTGAATATGCAGAGCCATCTCCAAGCTCTCTAGTTACAGGTAAGTAACCTTTATTTATTTGAGTCAGTGACCCATCTGGAGATGAGACATTTTACAATTTCCATTCTGAGAACTTTCCTGCAACCCACAGAAACCTCCAAGCGACTGGATACTTAGCTTCTTATTGCAAATAAAGGAACCTTGTAAAGGAATCATGTCACACACATAAAATAAACCTTTGCAAAACCCTGGTGGTTTGAAAGAGTCATTTCTCTGACATTCTTTCCTCCAGTAATCTGGGTTGTATGCTACAGTGAGGTTTCTAATGGGTTTGCAGTCTCATCAACATAGTGCATGCTGGTGCTTCTTGTAGAGCAAAAATTATGGAGTCATGATTTTGGGGTTGCTGAAAGGTGGACGAATAAGCTACGTTCAGAGTGCTTGTCCTTGACTGGCTGGGTATTCTTCACATAATCTTACAACAAGTTTAATTATTCTTCAGTATTCTGCATTTACAGTCCACCCTTTAAAAAACACTAGTTTTTAGAAGCAATTTGCTTTCATATTGTATATTATATTTTCTATAGTTCTTCCCACTGTTTTTCAATGAAAGTATTTCCATGGAAGCAATTTCTTTGTTTGCTTTTCATTTACTTCTGTTTGTTCTGCATCTGAAGTTGTTATATTATGTTTTTGACACAATTTGTGCATCACATTATATTCAGACATTTATTAATAATACTTTAATATGGAGAATTTCATATATTTATAAGACTAACATACTATGCCATGTACTGCAAACGATCATGCTATTGGAAGTCATATTTACAATTTACCTGTATTTCATTGGGTACCCATTTACATAGTGTTGCCTTACAGCGTAACATTTTACATTTCTTTGTACAGTAGAGCAAGCATAGTGCATTTTAAAATCTTATGTCATCTACGGTCTTTTAACAGGTTTGTCCTGAAATATTCTGGTACAGAAAATGGTCACTGGCCCATTTTAGAGGTATAAAAAATTGGGTATCGAGTGATTTTTAGAGGAAATTATACCCAAGACATAAATAGAAATAAATACTTTGATATATTTCCTTGTGGTCTGTTGTTGTGGTTTTTTTTTCTTTTAGTCAATTTATAATAAATACAAAAAAGTTTGAACGTTTCCACATTGGATCCCTTTTAAAAGATACATTCTGAAGGTCCATCAGTTCATTCAGGTTTAGTAGCAAATTTATTTGTGCTTCTTAAAAGCCATGAATTCTTACTGTGCACTTTGCATTTACAATATATTGTGTGTCTAACAATTATCTGAATGCATGAAAAGTTCAGCATGATTTTTTATTCTTCACATTTGGTACATGTAGTACTGTAAAACTTAGAATGAAAACCAAAAAGAAAAGTTCACAATTTAGGATGGAAAAAAACAGAGATTAGATGATTAATGTCAAAGGCAGTATTGAAAGGTGCAGATCTCCTAGTATTTTAATACTTAGATGGATAATTATTATATCCTTGTATATCCTGCAATCTGATTGGCAGAAACATGGTCCTTAACAGGTAACCCCCCCAAATTTTTTAATCATGATCTCATTTTTAGCCAGTCAGATCCTTTCCATTCCAAGCACATTTACCTTGCCCATAGACAGAGAGCTAGACATCTGGCCATGTGATTTTCAAGATAATTATTGTTAGCCACTGCTACCAAGGTAAGCCCCAGGTGAAAGCCTACAGAAGGACTTGTTGAAGCAAAGTGCAATGAGGAACATAGAAGGGATACCCCAGACTTACTTTCTCTTCTGAGTTAACTATAAGAAGGTTTTTAATACTGACTATGGGACAACTCCCATGGTAATGGTTGTAGAGGACTTTTACCCTACCCTGGCTGCTGTAGAAAACTGATATGACCTGAGGTCTAGTTCTCAATGTCTATGAAGTTGCCATGACTATCATTTTTTGCTGTGAAGGAAAGAATGTTCCATTTTCAGAGACTGTCATTGGAGTACTGTATACAATTTCTGAAACACTTTGTTTTCCAACAGATTTATGCTGTCGTAATCCATTTTTTGAGCATATCGTTCCAATGGCAATAATGGCTCACTTGTTGGCCTTATATGAAGAAATAACTAAAATGTTAAGGGTTGTCTACTTGGCTGTGTTGCCTTAATTCCTCTGAGTCTTTATCTTTAAAGACCAAGAAGTGGGTCACAGTTGCTTATGTTATTACTCGTCACTCATTTTGCATCCTGCATGTAGTTTTTCTTAAGAACTGGTGGTGCTTTAAGTTTTGTGAAAGTTTGTTCCTATTGTTTTGTGTGACGATTCAACAGTACTGTCAGTTTCTTTAGAGATAATTATTTGACCTTTAAAATTTAGTGTTAAAACTAATTTGCCTTTTGGATTCTTAATCTCTTCTTAAAATCCATTGCTCAGAACTGAAAAGTTTTCAGAAAAGAAAAAGAAATCCATATTCATTGTTTTGTATTAATTTGATCCTTTTATATCCTCGGCAGCAACAAGCTAGCAATTACTTGCCAGAGTTATCTTTCTGTTGGATATCAGCCTGTAATGCACTTTCATAAAAAAAGACCTTGAATTGCAAGTTAGCTACATTGGCTTGCACTACACTTAAAAGTCAGGAAAAAAGCTTTCTTTGCCAAATGTAAAAACATCAAAATTAAGTTTCGGTGATTCATACAAATTGCTTTGTAGCATTATAATTCACTGGGTTGGCAAACAGCAAAATCTGATGGCCCCAACTGTTTTTCCTACCAAGATTATAGGCCCCCATTCAGCAAAGTATTTAAGCATGTGCTTAATTGCTTTGCTTTATTGGGACCATATAAAATACCAAAGTTAGAGATTGTGGTCAAGACTTTCCCTCTTCCTTGCATTGATCTTCCTCTGTGAGAGTCCTCCCAAAACTACAGAGGAAGACCACTGTATATTATTCCACATGAGTGCTTTGCCAACTGCATCTGCTGTGGAGTAATTAATGTAACTGTGTGCGATTCTGATCAGTTCCACTCAGCAGGTGAAAGTGCAGGTAAATCAGTTCTCTGTAAGAGTACTCACGAAAGTTCCCCTAGGGCTGCTTGAACTGGTGGATCTGCCAACATTAGGTGGTTTAAACAAGAGTTCATTATCCTTCTAATCCATAGAGTGTAACATTTGCTCAGATCTGGCCAATATCCTGGCTCTGACAGTGGACAATATCAGGTGCTTCAAAAGACCGTATAAGTGTGCAGTTTTGAAATACCCTGTCCATAAATAAAGTTTCTTCTAACTCCTTCAGTTAGAAGTTGGTTTATGCTCTAAAATATTAGGGTGTGAATCCTTTCTAAAACAATGGAAAGTTTTTAAAAAAAAATTCCTTGACGGTGATCCTTTTTAAAATGTAATTACAATTGTGGTTAATGAACATGATATATACTCTAAATATCTAGGGAAAGTAAAATAGTGGACACTAATCCTTGTTACTCTAGGTGCCCATTTTTGTATTGTTTAATTCGTGTTTGGCTTAGAGGGACACACCAACTGTTCCATAAGATTCTCTGAATGATCTAATTTATTATGGAAAAGTTAACTGTTTAGTTTTGTTTTCTGCAGAAAATATTACAACTGCTACCTGAGAGGATATTTTATCGATGGCATTTCCACAGTATAGGTAAGAAGAAACACTTTTAAAAAAATATTTTAGTAGCAGCTTAAAATAAGATTCCTTTTTCACACTACTGATTTCCCACCCCTCCCCTCATATTTAGCTTGATCATGCAAGAACTCTAACTGGCTCATTTTCCACTTTCCTTGTTGTATTTCTTTTATCCCAAAGTAAAGAAAAATAACAAACCGTAAGCTTGTATTTCGTTCCCTCACTTTTCAATCTGTTAGAGTCTGTTTTGCAAGTGTTTGGAGTGTAAACCTTGATTTGCTGATGTTGGGGTGCCACTCCTGTAACCACTATGCCAATGTGATGTTTTGGGGATTACTTAAACCAGTAAGGGGTTTAGTCACCATCTGCTCTGTTACCTTGGGTGCCTTTATGCTGTGCAGCTTTCATTCAGATCCCCTGATGCCCGTAGTTTGTCCACAAGCACAAGGTCTCACCCTGGCTTCCACCAGCTTAGTTACTCTTTGCAGAGTACGACCAACAACCCTTCCAGTCCCAAGTCTCCCCAAATCCATCCACCCTGCGTTCTTAGGTACTGAACACTTGGACTTTTATCCTCTGCTTTGTCTCCCCCAAAAGTGTGAAACCAGCCCTCCCTTCCCCTCCCCCCCCAGCTTACTTTGGTGCACACACTAGACAGTTTGCATGCCAGAGACCTGCTTGGGGTAAAAATAAACAAAAGGCTTATTAAATTTAAAAAATCACAGATTCAAAGATAAAATAGTATGGAATAGCAAACATATACAAGTTACACAGCAAATAAACATAAAGATAATAAACATAAATCAAATTAGATAAACTCCCTTCTCTAATGCAATTTACCCATAGTCTCTGAACAGTTTCCCAAAGTACCCCCTGCTATAGATCAGATCTAGTGCTTCAGTGACAGCACACACTAAGTGATTGTCACTTAGTTTCTCTATGAAAACAATAATTTAATGCCTCCATTTAAAAAGCCTTCCTCCTCTCTTTCCATGGTGATTCATGTTTGTTCAGAGTGGGGGAAATTCCTTCTTAAGCTGATAGACAGGAAGTCTCTCAGTGTTTTCCCATTAATTTCAATGGACGACTGTTTTTCTTTTCCTGGGTAGTACAATGGTGGGTGTTGGAGCTAGACTCCTCTGGTTAGGAAGGCAGCCCCTCCTCAGCCTGACAACACTACAGATTGTGAGCACACTTTTGCTGTATTCATGAATACATAAATTCATAACCACAGTCTATATACATATCTCAAATGAACATCAAGTTCAGAACATTACATGCTTTATAAAAGACCTTACTCAACCTATTTTTATAGTACAGTAACACTGTATACAATCAATTGATTCAACTGCTTATTCTTTGGGGTTCAGCCCCCCTCTTCTCCCTGGGGGTGCCTGAACCTTGATTGTCACAGCAGTATTAAAATGCCTGTGTAAAATATGGTTGTTTACCATTATAAACTTTCTATTAGTATAAATATAAGCTGGTTAGTAATGCCATTTTCAAGGGCATCTTTGTCATCATAAAAATTCCAGTGGGGCTACTGTCCTCCTGCATAAATTGCCCTGAAGATCCCCACAGAAGGAAGTGCACATTATGCCCAATGAACCACAGAACCATTTAGTAGTGGTAGAAAAGTGCATAGGAAGAACTTCAATACCAGGCCCAGAACTAAAAATTCTTGAACTTTCAGCTCTTAAAGGCTCCATTCAGCCACAGTCCTCAATTTCTTTTTCTCTCCCTGCTAAAGCAGTCACAAAACCCTTCAGCTACGTCCCCTGCTTTATTTTAAATTTATTTATTTATTTATTTATTTATTTATGGTATTTGGCTGCTTAGTTTCTTCTTTTGCCGCAAGGGTTATTATATAGTTGTAGCTTTTCTTCCAGGGATTTTTTCCTCCCAATTAGTACAAATCCTGGGCACCACAAAAAGAGTGAATTACAAGGCTCATGTCTTCAGCATTTGTATTTAGTAGAGTGATAAAAGCAGGAAAATGCCAGCCAGAAGATCTGAGTTCTACACCTGACTCTGTTGCTGACTTGTGGAGCCTTGGGCAGATTTATTAACCTCTCTGTGCCTATTTTCCCATCTGTAAAATGGGAATAATACTTAGGCATTCTTTTGCAGAGTTCTTTGAGATTCTTGGATGAAAAGTAGTACAGTGTCTGTGACTTAATCACTGAAAGGCAAAAGGTAGCACACAAGGTGACGCACTCTGAGGTAGTTTCGTTCCATAAACCGATTAATGGATTAGGATGACAAATAAATAGAGAACTTTCATCTGTGCTTAGAGTAGAATCTAGCTCCAGTATGTTTTGTTGTTTATATGAAAACCTATCCATTTTCTTCACACCAATACTTGAAATTTCAAAACGATAAGTTGCCCTTTTCAGCGTGCATAAACTGAGAAATATGGAAATTAATTTGCCATTATCTTTTTGAAACTTCATGTCCCTGGGATGAGCAGATCTGAAAAATCTTTAACTCCTTGCACAACATCATGTTCTTGAAAAAATAGAATGGAGATTACAATATGAGAGAGGGTTTTGCTGTATTTTGTGGCACAATAGCATTCATGACATCAGAGTGTCATACCTGTTTTGCAAGCTAGGAGTATTGTGGCACAAACTATGTGGCATACCACATCTGAAAAAAAAGTAACATGCCTTTTGTTGGATAGAAGGATGGGGGCAGGAGCAGGGAGAGGGTCTGAGGGAAGAGTTGGATAAGAGGGGTGAGGGAGAGGGCAGGAGCAGGGGGAGGAGGAACTGGATTGAGGGGACAGGAGACAGGATGATTTTGGGGTAGCAATCAGATAAGAGGAAGGAGGTAAGGAGCAGGGGTGGAGCAGATAAGTACAGAGGGGAACAGCCACAAACAGGTTGGGGGCACAGAGGCAGAAGGATCTGTAAACCACTTGAGAACGTTCCCCTATAGAACCTGGAATTATGCCCAACCCTGTCTGAAGTTTCCTTTGCTGTTATCAACCAGCTGTGAAACCCACAGACAAAGTGTGTCTCATCCCCACTAGTGCCTGAGCAACATAGAAGATAACAGCCTATTACTGCTACCAGTTATTCTGTTAGATCAAGTGGGAAGTCCGTGCTGTGCATCCGAAGATCCAGACCTTGCTGATGACCCCAAGGGTGGCAGGGGAGTGTCAGTATGACTCCACATGATGGTGTTTTAAGGTTTTTTAGTTAAGGAAATTACATTTTTAAAAACTACATTAAAAGAACGTTAAGATTGCAAATCCTAACTTTCGAAAGTTAGGAAATGCCAGAATTAAGGTGGCCTGTGAAATCTTAATTCAGCTCCTGTGTGCTTATGCATTATGATAGCCTTAATACATGAACACATAATATGCTTTCCATTGGACCCCTGTCTCGTTCAATGAATAGGTAGTTAGTTATTCAATATTGCTTTTTACCCTCCTTATTTGTTGCCTGGGCCTGGGTCTTATTTAACACAGGAAATTCAAACCCTCCACTGAATACAAAATTATTCATTTCCTCCTTGACATGTCGGGTGCTCTCACCGTAGTATCCAAGTGCTTCACAAGCATTAATGAATTAATCTTCACAATGCCCCTGTGAGATAGGGTGGTAGTGTTGTCCCCGTTTTACAGTTGGGTAACTGAGGCACAGAGAGAATAAGGCCAAAATTGTCAATTGTCACTAATTATGGATGCCCTATGTGAGACACCTACAGCCTGACTTTTCAGAGTACTTAGCATTTTTATAGTACTTAATATGTTGAAAGCACAGCTATAATGACCTTCAGTTAAAGTTGTGTATGCCCAGCACTTACGAATATCTGGCCCCAGGTATCTTATGTGGGCACCCACAGAATGAAAAACTGTGGCAGAGGCAGGGATAAAATTCCATTATCCAGGACAGCGTTTAACAACCTCAACCCTTAGAACATCCTTTCTTCATTTTTCCTTGCCTTGTTCCACTACACACCTTCCAACTTCTGCAACAAATAAGGAAAGGGTCCTTACAATCAACAGCTTCATATTTTACAACCTTGATTAATTCCCAGAGCACTCTCCATCCCTTGCACAGAATGAGGCTGGAGTCTTGTGAAAAAATTGTGTGTGGTCATGCAATTAAAGACTGTATCATTATGCGCATGCACAAAGAAGCCAAATTAAGATATCATAGGCAAACCTAATTGAGGCATTTTCTGATATTTGAGTGCTTGACTTTGCAACCTTAATGTTCTTTTAATATAGTTTGTTTAGTTAATAAACATAAAGATATAGCACAATATGGCTAACAAGCTAATCTTATTCTCCTGTGTACTGTGGAAAAGTCAATAATAAAATGAGGCAGAAATAATTTTTCTGACTAAATTTCACAGCTTGAAGGGACAAGCTTTTCTCAGCTAGTTCAGGGCTCTAAACAGCAATATTTGTAAGCCAATCATTGTGTCTTTTGTGTTAATGCTTGAGAACCAGAAAGCAAAACTGATCATTGTTGTTTCATTGACCTGGATGAATTCACAAGAGAGTAAAGAGAAACCATAAATACTGAAAAGTAAACTAAATTTTCAAAGTTCTTTAAGTGTTAATAATCTAACTTGTTTGTGACAACGGAAGGAAACTTTAACATATATATTTTAACCTGATGGTGTCCCTACAAATTAATTTGAATATGTTAGACTTATTACTGCTTTGAAAATGAAAAACTATACTTCTGATTAGCACTAAAGCAGTCAGAACATTTACTGTTCTGTTTATTGACTATAATTTGGACACATGGCACATTTTTAAAGCAGTATTCTTTATTTGGGATTTCAACACTGATTTTGCTGTTTAATCAACCAGTGTGTTTTCTAGCTGAGCAATGAATTTGTGATGGCAGCAGAAATAATGGGTGGAAATGAAAGGTCAAGGAAAGGGCTGTTGTCAAATTTCCAGTTAGCACATACAAAAATAAAAGGAGACATCTGCTTGAACTACTTCATTATAATTTCCTGTAAATTTGAACAGCATAAATTGGGCTTTACTCAGGGATTTAGTAACTGTTGTATTGTTTTGATTTCAGTCAAAAAGTCATAATTGGAGAAATTTTTAGCCAGCCTCAATTAATGGGCAAGTAAACTTGATGGCACGTTGATTTGTGCATGCACATTTGTGTACAAATAGTATTTGCATATGCAAATGGTTTGCTTTGACAAACAGTTACTTAACGTTCATGTGCACTAACACATTAAAGATGCAAATGTATTAGTGCACTGGGTTTACTATTGTGTTGCAAAATGGTTAAATCTTCAGTAGGGCATGGAGTACCATGTTTAAGTAATGCATTTAATAACAAGCAATGGATATGTTACTTCTCCACCTGAGAGAATATTATTTTTGAGGGTTCAGCTAATGATATTCCACACTTTCAGATTTGCTCTGATATTTAGCAAAGTATTTTATGTTAGTTGACTGGCATTTTCAAGGTTGTCTAATTTTGGTTCACACAGTCTTATTTGAAAAACAGTTTTTAGTCTTTGTTCTCTTAGTTGTCTGTACATCTGCAGGCCTCCTAGTGTGTGTATATATATATTTTTTTTTCTCACCAATTGTTGTCAGTATTAGTTCTTTTACTGTTCCCATGCTTCTCCCTTCCCCAAATGTCAAAACCATTATTATCAGTTTTCCAGTCAGTATACCATAATGAACTATGGGCAAGAAACATTAATACAATAGTTAAAAAAATATAAAATTATAAATTTAATGGGTCAAAGTAACCAGTTGTCCACTAGTAATATTTTTTAAATGAAAGGAATATGAGTAAAACAAAGTAGACTTCAGATACATTAAATTAAATTTTTTTCCGTCTTTCTATTCAACAGAACATATAGTGTTAGCTATAACATTGCTAATTCCTCACAGGTATTTATTTCTTAAATGAACACATTGCAGTAGTAATATTGTTTAGCAGTTTTAAAACGGTCTGTTGTGGTAAAAATGCATTTTTGACAAAAGCAGACCGCTTTAATAATTGTAATGTATTTTCCCATTTCATTTTTCTAATTTCAGGGTCAGTTTTGAAGAAGCTTTTGCACACTGGAAACTCTATTAAGGTATTTCCCTTAGATGACATATTAGTGTTTCTTGCTACTTTTAATTCCAGAGCTACCAGAGGTATTTGGCCTCTGGTTCAAGGCAGAGCAGCTTCAGCACTGCTCTAACTTATGGTGGCAATATTGGCTTCTGAGCGACTATTACATTGGCTGGATATTGGCAGAATGCAGCAGTATTCCTAAATATGCCTCCAGCACACCCTCAGTGCTGCCTCTTAATATAGTTGGAGGGCTCACTGGAGAGTGATAAGAATGAAGGTGCTTATCTTACTATTTTTGAAAAAGCGTTTTTTATTTTCTTTAAATATTCAGTATTTTTACTGCGTTTTCCTGTTTATATCAATGTACCTTTCTACTTTCTTCTCCTTTTAGATAAGACGTGAAGGAATCCGACTGTTTCTTCTTTGGCTTCAAGCACTTCAGACAAACTCCACAGAGGAGCAAATGTTAATTTTTGCATGCCTAGTGCCTGGTTTTCCAGTGATCATGTCATCAAGAGGTCCCTGTACACTGGATACACTCATTAGCCCTACTCCTAATTTGCCTGATGGTAAGTAAAATCATCAGAATTAAAGTGCTGAATATATAGCCCTTTCTGGTCGCTAATTCATAGAATTGCAGATGTTGCTAATAGGGGAAAATATCTAATAGATCATACTATCTGTCTCTGTAAATCAGTGAACCAGAGACATGTCATATTGAGATTAGTAATCTATTAAAATATTTTCATAGCACTGTATCCCTCTACTCCTGTAGTTTCAGAGTGCAGAACATTTTTATGTTACTTAGTGTTAAAGATATAGAAAAGAAGTCACCAGATCTTTTTGCACTGCTTTGCTACTTCTCGCTGGTCACTGAGTGTAAGTATATCTAGACAGTTCTTTTCAGTATAAAATTTAAAAAGAACTTAAATACTATATAGCCAATGCTTATATTTAGGTGAAAATTGCTTTCTAGATGTTTATAGGTAGAAAACGAATCCCAAATTCTACTTCATATATAGTCAGCGTGGATCTCCATATTTGAGATCCACCATGAGCATCTCCCCCTCAGAGATGGAAAGGCTGTTTGTGTTAGCAAGGGAAAGAAAATCCTTGGGGCCCTTTAAGGATTGCTCACCCTTCCTCTCTCTTTGTGGGCATTTAGTCTCCTTGTGGGTTTGGGAGGGATTTTCGTGAACTGGCTAGATTGAAGGATGCAGTGGCAGCCTATAGGTTTCTGTGCATTAGAGGGGAGGTCTTATTGGTCCTTGCTCATCCCCAGGATGCCATTCTACATGTGGGGTATCGGGTTTCTATGTCATGGTGTGGACATCACACTAAGTGCTTTTTGGGTCTGGGAAGGAATTTTTCTCACTAGTGGATTGGCTGGGTAGTGTGGGTTTTTCCACTCCCTCTATCAGCAGTCCAGTGACCTGGTGGGTAGGTTAGGTTGTAAAGTGTTCATGTTGTCACAACTTGGCAGGTGTCCAGTGCAGGTACTTGTTCAGTAGGGGGTCAAATTCCCTGATCAACTGAAACTTAAATCAAGATTAGGGGAGGGTATTCCTTAAACAAAGAGGGGAAAGGGACTGGGAGTTCTGGTGACTGTTACAGTAAGGGGCTCCACCCCCCTTTTCTGCATGTCTTCAGCCTATCATATGAAAGGAAGGCAGTTAGGGTTCCAGTGCAAATGGCTAATTTACTCATGTGTCTGAAAGGTGCCAATCACAAGCATCTAAATATATGTACAAAATTTAAAAAATACCAATTAAGAAAACGATACAATGACTCATTGCTAACAAAGAGTCTTCTCGGCCATCTGGCCCAATTCTCTCTCTCCAGATAAAGCCCAGGAAAACAGATGAGTCTTGCAGCATCCCTGAAGCTCTTCAAATCTGGACTCTTGCAGACCAAACAGGGCAGCAAATTCCAGAGTTTTCATTTAAGGACAAATAGATTGATCCTAACTATTCAAGTGTAAATGCAAGAATCATCTCTTTGCTAAGGTCTTTCCACCGGAGGAGTCCACAGGGTGTAAAGGGAAAAGTGTAGCAGGCAAGAAAAAACAGTGGGTTTGGGAGAGAAGGAACAGGAGAAGGAAAACTTAAAAAATGCATAGTATAAAAGGGAGGGGGGCATCTGTGGGAATGTTACCTTCTGGGAAAGCTCAGTGCCATTCTTAATTGTTACATTAGAATCTTTACTGATATACTTCAGTTAGATATCAGGGACTATTGATTCCATACACATCCTCTCACTGATCTGAACATTTGGACGCAAAGGTGTATAAGAGACTGTGGTTCCAACCATCGTTAGTTAATCCCTTCCTTCTATTCTTTTTTCAGTTGTTGGCAATCTTGCTCTCTGTAAAGAGCTAATATGTCTAGTGTTGTCAAGTCTTTTCATATATTCTGTAGTAAGCTCCCTCGATTCTATGGCACGCCAGTGGAAATTTTCATTATTTGGTGGCAACTGCAGATACATTTTAAAAACAGAGGTTTAAATTAAAACTTAGTATAAATAATAGACCGTGTGTTATTCATTTCAGTATTAAATTCAGTTTATGCTTTCTCACATTTTCGGTGTGCCACAGATTATCATCTTTAATTTTCATAGTTAACAAGGTGTTAAAATGAATCTAGCAGTTCACATCTCTCAGAGCTACTGTTTCAGGCTATCTGCAAACTCAGACATCACTGCATCAGTTCTCACTCAATTATTTTCAGGATTGTCACTACGGTGAAGGCTAGAAATTCCTCTCTTGAGAAATTGGTCTCCTACAGAAAAATGTGTGTGTTAGGTTTTGGTGGTTGGGGGCCAGGGCTGATGCTGTTTCTAGCTATATATTTTGGGGTGTGGGTAGATATCAAAACAATCCCACTGACCAATGGAACATGGCTTTGTGCAATCAGTAGCTGTATTTATACTATAATATTTTATAGAACGTGAATACAACACAAATTTAATTTATTTATACCACTATTTTAAAATGTTAATCTTTTTTTTAAAAAAATCTTTCTCTGTATTTTAGCAAAGATTTATCCTGAAGAGGTAACCCCACTTCTGCCAGCTGTCTCTGGTGAAAAGGTTGCTGAGGACCAAACCTGCTATTTTCTTCAGATATTGTTAAAGTATATGGTAATCCAGGTGTGAAAAGAATATTTTGTAAACTCTTTAATATGTGAGGAAACGTACCTGTGGTGGAAGTTTATTTTCGTTCTTTCTACTTGTACAATATTTTTCAGATGGAGGTTATTGTCATTCAGAGAGTTGCTTATTTTTTATAAAAGAAAAGAAGTCAAATATTTTGTTGTGGCTTTTATATTGAAATTGGTTATTTCTATCTCAGATAAGTAAAACAAGTAAGGGATGATGTTATATTGTGAGGTGTTTTTAAAGCTTTAGTTTATATCCATAAAGAAGGTTTCTAACACGGTAAAGAGTTTCACACAAATTCCTAGTCACCTATGCTTCAGCATCTGAAATCAGGAAGCAGATTTCAAAGCTTAATTAATTTTGACTTTTCGTACAATAGGTGCACTTTGCACATATTTCAAAAGCTGTTAATAGAATAATTCCTCTCTCAGCAATCAGTATTGCTAGTATGATAAGAGGTGGTCGACCCATTTCAGTCAAACGATTCAGTCATAACTCTTCAAATCCCTGTTGCCGGTTATGTTACAGAATCCTAAAGAATTCTAACAAGTAATTTACTCTTCATGTAACCTTTGAGGAAAGTCATCCTGTTAAATCAAGATAAGGCCAAGTAGTATATGAAATGCATTATAGTAAGCCACACCTCTGACTTAGTGTTCTCCACAGGACTTCATTCTATATTCTCTCCTATTTTACCGCTCGTCTCCAAGGGTATGTGTACACTGCATCTGGGAGTGAGTCTCTCAGCTTGGGTCCACTGTCTCATGCTAGCATGCTAAAAATAGCTGTGTAGACATTGCAGCCTGGGCTCTGAAGCCTGGGATAGGACTTCAGAGCCTGAGCTCCGGCCTGAACCACAATATTAAAGCAAAAAGAAAAGGAGTACTTGTGGCACCTTAGAGACTAACCAATTTATTTGAGCATAAGCTTTCGTGAGCTACAGCTCACTTCATCGGATGATGCAGTGAGCTATAGCTCACGAAAGCTTATGCTCAAATAAATTGGTTAGTCTCTAAGGTGCCACAAGTCCTCCTTTTCTTTTTGCGAATACAGACTAACACGGCTGTTACTCTGAAACCTGTCAATATTAAAGCATTGTCTACACAGCTATTTTTAGCGTGTTAGTGCAAGGCTTACTAGCAGACATCTGTGGACCTGGGCTGGGAGGCTTGCTCCAAAATGCAGTATAGACATATAACCCAGGACTTCAGCAAAGCTTAGAAAGTATATTGGCTGTTGATTTTTAGTTGCATGGCTGTGACCGGTTTGTTTTCTTCAGCTAGATAGTTGCTACAGCAGGATTTGGTACTGATGTTGACAATGACTTTGGACATTTTTTAAAAAATAGACTTTGTTTAATCTGAAATCTATCTATTTATCTATTTAGTTATTTCTGGCTGTCAGCAGATCCAAGAAGGTGCTCAAAATTGCCTTTTACAGCCATATTTATTTGTCAGTCAGGCTGGGTGTTTTAAATCCCCAATATACGGTAAGTGAGGAAAGGAGGAGAGGCCATGGGACTATTTGGTTTGATCAGGATAATCTTATGTGTATGGGTTTGCATTTAGAATATTGGCTAGGGGATATAGATATAACTTATTAGTGATACACACATCGATGAAAACAGATACCAGGAATGAGTGGAGAGATTGAGGGTTTTTTTTTTTTTTGTAAAAGAATGTGAAGGCTGGTTTAAATCAAAATTTTAATTAAAAATAGATAAAACACAATAGTGTCTACATACTCTTTCTGTAGGAAAGAAGAACTATGAAAGTATTCTAAAAATACAAAAATTGAGATTAAAACAAAATTAAAGTAAAATGAGGGAGTGAAATATTAAAAAGCAATCCTAATAGAACAAGTAAACATATACAAATTAGGTGTTAAAGAACTCTGATATTTCCTGTAAAAAGAACTAAGGTAGTGAAAAACTAAAAAGTTGAAAATTGATATTTTATTTCTATAGGAGACATGTTTTAGGAAGGTTATGTGAGCAAAATGGTAACTGGTTTTAAGTGTTTGTGTCATCTTGCTTAAAGTGCAGTTTTACTGTACAAAGTGACAATGTAAAAATGATACCTTCCTACTCAACAGAACTGCTCACTTTATATATACAAACTTCCAACATACTGTGGTGCAAAAATATGTTCACAGGTTTTTTTTAGTGCTGTTTGGCCTGCAAAGCCAAAATACCTTAGCACTGCGTGCACTGCAGATTCTGTTCCATCCTGGTTCATCAACAGAACTGTGCATTAAATTCTGATCAGTTACACTTGCAGAAAATGGTGTTGCACTAGTGCACCTAAGGACCCAGTTTGGCTGTACAAACCTTTTTTAATGATGGTGATGGATGAGATGAAAAGCATCCATTAAGAGTACGGAATGAGTGTTCAGAGCGGACACTTAGGGAAAAGCCACGCTTTAGGCAAGAACGGAGTAGACAAACACCCTCATGTTTAACAGAGGCTAAAGGCTGCATGTATTTTGAAGAGTCTTCTTTGAGGGAAACTAATTTTTATGTCTTTGAATTCAGACCACAATTTTGTTGTCAGTTTTTTGGTTTCTGGAGAAAGTAGAGCTGATGCTTTGTAAATTAATTAGCTTCAGTATATTGTGTAATTAGAACCAAAAGAATGGCCCAGTTAGTTTATAGCATGTAAACTGAGAATAGAGAAAAGTTAGCTGATACCCCTGATGCAAAATAAAAAATAAACGTTTTGGCAAAAATACATACTTTTTAACTGAATTTAGTTTTTGAAACTAGGAAAAACAGCTTAAAGTGGACGCAATCAAGAAATATTTAATGGAAATACAGCTGACTATGTCAGGTGACTTGAGATGGCCAAAGAAAGCAATCACTGGACAGTAAATTTTAAAGGCAATAGTGAATTTATATTCTTGTGCAATTTTTGCAGCATCAGGGCAAACAGTAATTTTACACACATGAATAAAGTTACACATTGTGTTGAGTGATGCTACTCACAAATAGGTTCATTTTATTTTATTTATGTAGATTTGACATTATAAAAAGAACATGTATACAAAATCCCTGAGTACTCTGACAATAATTAGACTTACAATAAATGTGCTGTGGCATTAATATATTAAAATTGACTCCACCAACCTAAAATAATCAAGTAGGAGCTACAATTTACTTCAGACAGTAGACAGTAAAAGTGGAAAAACTCCAGACAATACTTTCACTCCCAGAGCTTACATGTGTAAGTATTTACAGAATGGGGCCTTGCAAGTTACAGGATCTTTGGTGATTTTGGAATTTTAAAAACATTTCATTGGGATATAGGTTCATTATTGATGAAAGTGGGAAAATTTAATAAGACTATGGCTGAAGCAAACAAATCAGTGATAGAAAGTAAAGGAAGAATCAGTATCCCTTAATTTTAGATGTGAAAATATGAAATTCTTAGCAAGATGACTAGACTTGATATTTCCTGATTTGGTGTACAGATGGACTTTTGTGGGAATTTGAAAAAAGGAAAATTTTCAGTTACTGAGAATTTTATTTGTTCTTGAAGCTGCTTTAAAAATGGGGGCAGGGATTGAGTCGAGTTGAAAGAATGTACCTCAGAAGAATGGTAAATAAATTAAACTGGTTTGGTATTTACATGGTGTGAAGTTGATACAAGAGATCAAAATCCACAGGAAGGATTGAGCAAGTAGAAGTCTGTCTTTCCCTTATTGCAGGGATGTCTGCCTTCACCATTCTTCTTTGCTCTTGTGTTGGAATCCATGGCACAAATAATTAGGGGAAACTAGCACATGTAGGGTTTTGTGATTGGAACATGCTTACTATTTTTAACATGCCTATATTTCAGTGAAAAAAATCACCACAGTCTTTAGCACAATTTAACAATGTCTGTACCAAGATACTGCAGATCAGGACTGGTCAGAATGGTACGTGGAAGCTCACATAATGTGTGCTCACAACACCTGATGCTCACCAGGGCTGACGTACTGAAGCACCAAAACAATCAGATTTTGCAGTCAGCTCCCAATGCCAGTGGCTAATACGTATGACTCAAGATTCAGGCTTCCTAAGGTTATCTTGTATGTGCATATGCAACTCCATTAATGACAGGAGTTGGTTGTGCTGATTATGATAGAAAAATATACTCTGGAGAGACTAGTAGCTTCATAGAATCCTACTTAGAGGTAAGAAGCTTTGTTTAATCTTAGTAAAATATTTTAACAAAATATAATGACATTAGTTTATGACATTTATGTAAATGATTGGATTATAACTGTAGAAGTGTGTCAGCTTTTAATGAGCTTCTTGTATGCTTGCTTTTTAAATGACCTGGCATGCATCATTTTTTTTCTTAAGCTCTTATTGTACTCTGTAGCGCTTTGGAAATAGAATACTCATATTTCATATCTGTTATTGAAGTGTTGTTTTCCATCTTCCACATTCAGTAAAGCAGAATTTATCCTCAACATGAAGAAATTTTTCATAGAATATGTATTAATTTGAAACATTTTTTTTTGACTCCATGTCAAAGGCTGCAAGCTTAGAGTGGAAGAATAAGGAGAACCAAGACACTGGTTTTAAGTTTCTCTTCGCCTTGTTTAGAAAGTATTATCTTCCTCACTTGTTTCCATCTTTTACAAAACTAACCAGCCTCTACAAACCTGTCCTTGGTAAGTAGAGAGTTTTACTTTTAAGTAGCAAAAATATTTGGTGGTTACTTTCTGTAGTTTCTTTGTGATCATTACAACTATATTTGATGAGCATATGTGTGACATTTGTGTTATTTTTAATGGCTTATAAGAAAAAAATATTTTATCTAGTACTATTTTAGATTCCCCTTTTTATATTCTCATATGGTGAAACAGATTATGTTAACATAATTGTATTTATTTTGCATTTTTATCAAATTATTAGGTGCCATTAATTTAAAAAATAAACCGTGATTTTTCACATGCAATCACAGATATTAGTTCCATGGGTTGTTTACTGTTGCTTTAAGGAAAAAATGGGTTGTAATAGTTCCATGGCTGGATTCAATCCCTCATGTCCCCCTGGGAGCAGTGGACTGAACACAGAAAGTTGTGTTTTTTTGTTTGTTTTTTTTTAAACTTCACTTCCTACATGTGGGCTGGGGCCAGTCCTGCATTCCTTGAGCACTCAAAACTTCCATTGCCTTCATGTTTTAAGTTAACAAGGAATGTGCATAAATATGGTAAAATACATGATACAGAGTGGTTGTTGAAAGAATTGTTCAGGTGCCCAAAAGCCAGACATTAGTTTTGATACAAGTAAAATCATTTTTATCTTCTTCATCTTTGAAGGGCGGGGGAGAGAGAGAATGGCATCTTAAGGGTATGTCTACTCTTTGAGCTAGGGGTAATTCCCAGCTTGAGAGACATACTTGTGCTCGCTCTCATTGAGCTAGTGTGCTAAATACAGAATGTAGCCTGGGGGTGTCCCAGTGTCAGGACAAGCTAGCTGCTCTGAGTGCATGACCGTGAGAGACTATAGGCAAATGCTCAGGTGGCTAGCTTGTCCTGCTACTTGCAGCTCTGTGACTACACACTATTTTTAGTGTGCTAGCTCAATGAGAGTTAGCACAAGGATGTCTCCTCAAGCTGGAATTGCACCCACAGCTCAAAGTGTAGACACACTGTAGGACGGTCAGAGGAGGCTGAGATGTAGATGTGAGTACAGACATGCTGTGAGTAAGGGTTAGAGCTGCAGAGCCAGGAAAAAAAAATCCATTTGTATGATTAAAGGCTTCCGTCACTCTAGAAATGTTGAAATCCTTTTATTTTTGAGCTGTTCCTAATACATCAATTAAGTGGTACATTGGAACTCAAGTGCTGGTGTTTGAATGGAACCAAAGCCATTAATACTTGACCAGTAGAAATACTCCTCCTCAACATCCTCCCTGACTGTGAACCTTCTCCTCTTCAGTCTATCCAGCATTTAGCAGCTAATACAATCTTACTTCAGGTTTCAGAGTAGCAGCCGTGTTAGTCTGTATCCTCAAAAAGAACAGGAGTACTTGTGGCACCTTAGAGACTAATAAATTTATTTGAGCATAAACTTATGCTCAAATAAATTTTAGTCTTTAAGGTGCCACAAGTAATTTTACTTCACTGCCACTTCAACCATGTTATTCACCCCTAGAGAAACTTCACTCCATTTTTTTTCACAACATTCAAAGTACTTATTCCCACTTTTAAGCCTCTGCACAACCCTGCCCCACCTGTGTTTTACCTCTCATCTTTATAGTTCTTCTTCTGTGCTCTGGTCGTTCTTCACACCTTGAGCACTTTGCCTTTTCTCCACTTTCTCTGTGCTTTTCTCACACTGCTCCTTGCACCTGAGTTGATCTCCCCTTTCTAGTGTGCCTTAGTACATCCTTTTTTCTTCCTCAAGCCTCACTCCTTCCATTTGGCTTCGCACTATTTGCCTGCCTGCTCTTGATTTATTTACTCCATCCCTCTTTTACCTTTTCTCAATAAGAATGATCAGAATTTATAAAATAATTTTACATTCTACGTATTCTTGCTTTAAACTCTTGTCCCTCCCTTCCCTGTCCCTTTCTTTTGTTCGCTGCTTGCATTGTCTATTTATCTGGTATGGATTAAGTTCTTCAGGGCAGGAGCTGTGCTTTTTTTGTCTTGTTTCTCTCCAGCACCAATCAAAATGATGGCAGTATATAAATATATATTAATAAGAATAATATTAGGTATAAACAGCTGGTGCATCACAATTATTAGTTCACATGGAGAAAAAATGCTTTCGGTCTAATGTTCAATTCATTTCACCAAGCAGTTGTTGTTGTTTTTTTAAAAAAAGATTTAATTATATTATCTGTTTAATCTCGCCAGATATTCCTGACTTGAGGCCAAAACCAGCATACATTACTGCAATTCGGAATAATGAGAACATCTACAGCACGAAAATCCCATTCATGGCTGCTCGTGTTGTTTTTATTAAATGGCTTGTAACCTTCTTTCTCGAAAAGAAGTACTTAACTTCAGAGCAGAATAGTAAAAATGGAGGAGAAATGCTGCCTAAAATCATTCAGGTATGTCATAAACTTACTTGTTTCCTTATGTATATGCTAGAGAAGCTGCAGATGATCAAAATATATTGACAACTGAAACAAAAAGGAAATGCTCTGCTTAGGTGGGTGAATGATGGTGTTTAAATTACCTTTCTTCTGATGGAGGAGTGAGTCTTTGGAGGAGCACTTTTAGCAGTGTACCGGAAAATATTTCTGTAGCTGTTTGTCCTTTGCCTTATTTAAAGAGGAAAAGCAACCTTCTGAATACAGTATAATCAATAGAGAGAGAGAGTCTTGCTGGCCGTCTTTAATAATCACACAACATCTTTACAACAACTTTAGCAGTTGTTTACAGTGAAATACCAGGAAAGTATTTAATGTATTTTTAGCTTTTTTTAATACAATTTAGCATCTGGAAATGAGGAAAAACAGTACCAATATAATCCACCAGCAGTTTGCGGAGTGGACATTTAATTTACAAATTACTGATTCTAATCTGGCCAGGATTGGTAGCTTCACACACCAAAAGTTTCATAGCAAGCAATTGGCCTTCGCTGCAGATTCTCTAAAGAAAACATAGAAAGTCAGAAGTCTAAAGTTGAAATTTGTGTAGCTATTTAACAGGAAGGGCTTTTTTGTTTTGTTTCTCTTAAGCTCAAGTACTCTAAATCAATTTGTGTCTCCCAGATTTTTGTCTGAAGAGTTGTCTTGCCTTGTTCAACATACTTATAGCCACATAAACTGGAAGAGACTTTTTCTCTCTAGTAAAACTTATGCAAGGTAGCCTGTTTCCTCTTGTTTTTTCCTACACACCCCCCCCCCCAGATGTTCTGGTTTAACTTGGATTTAAACTTGGAGAGTGGTCAGTTTGGATGAGCTATTACCAGCAGGAGAGTGAGTTTGTGTGTGTATGGGGGTGGGGGGGATGTGAGAAAACCTGGATTTGTGCAGGAAATAGCCCGACTTGATTATGTAAAGAGTTGTCACTTTGGATGGGCTAGCACCAGCAGGAGAGTGAATTTGTGTGGGGGGGTGGAGGGTGAGAAAACCTGGATTTGTGCTGGAAATGGCCCACCTGATGATCACTTTAGATAAGCTGTTACCAGCAGGATAGTGGGGTGGGAGGAGGTATTGTTTCATATTCTCTGTGTATATGTAAAGTCTGCTGCAGTTTCCACGGTATGCATCCGATGAAGTGAGCTGTAGCTCACGAAAGCTCATGCTCAAATAAATTGGTTAGTCTCTAAGGTGCCAAAGTACTCCTTTTCTTTTTGGTAAGAACTGTGTGGCAGTTGTTGGCAGTGCTGACTTTTTAATGACTTTGAATTTCACCGAATGTGGCTGCTCTCCCTTGTAGCTTGTGAACTTCACTCAGAGGTATTTCTGGAATCTGATACAGTAAAAAGAAAGGAAGTTTTTTCTAATCAGTGCCTATGCCCAGGCAATACTTTCAGTGAATTGAGTATTGTTTCATGTGGATTACATGTTTTCATTTAAGATAACATTTCTTCCACTAAGTAGATAAGTTTTAAAGAATCTCTTTTCAAAGGACAACATCCTCTGTCATCTTCTCTCTCATGACTGGATCCCTTTTATTATGAAATGTTGCAGCTATTGCATATAACCCCATAATTTACCATTTTGCCAAGATGCTTCATGAATGTGACTAGGGTGACAATTTTTTCCAAACGAAAAAAGTGACTTGGAACTCCTCCTCTGTTTGTTCTCTTCCTCCCTGCATCTTTTCCTCCCCAATTTCTCTCTCCTTTCCGATGGAGCAGAGTGACCTAAGGATCATCCCCTAGCACTGTGTCCTAATGTGCCATCTATTTTCTAAAGACTAAAAAGCAAGTATCTTTGAAGGTAGATCTCCTCATGTTGGAAAATCAAGGTTGCTGGTGTACCCCATATTGGTAAACTCTTTTAAATCTCCGTGGTCCAACTCACCCTATCTTGTGGTTTCCTGTCTTACAGACAACAGATCTGAGATATGGGAATAGGATGCACATTAGGCATTTAAATATTATATCACTAATTTTTTGCTTGGCTCAAGTTTATTAAAAGTTGTATTCAGTTGCTCCTGGGATTCCATGGGTTTGTGAAAGTTGCTGGTAACTGGAGTTCATAATAAGTAACCCAGGTTTTTGGTATGTTTTATATGCAGTATTATACAAGTATTTTATTAGGCTTGCATTTTCTCCTGTCTAGACTGTTGGTGGTACAACTCAAGATAAAAACCCCGAGCTGGAAACTAGTGTGCTATCAGAGCAAGAGAAAAATCATTCCAATAGCAGCACTTTGTCTGATAGGCGACTCAGTAACTCCAGCTTTTGCAGCATTGAAGAACAACATCGGACAGTGTATGAGATGGTACAGAGAATTCTGTTGTCCACTCGAGGTTACGTCAATTTTGTTAATGAAGTATTTCGCCAAGTAAGTAGTAGGAGATTATACATACTATTGTATAACTTAAACTGCAGAAGCACAAATATAAATGCACTGTGTGGCTAAGTGTTATGTGAAAGAAAACTGTAAATGCTGTTGAACCAAATGACTGACTAAACTTGACCATGGTCCTTTCTGCAAGTCCTTATCTTTAGGAGTCCTTTCTAAGTCCAGTCCTTAGATGATTATTATTTATAGTGTTCCAAATACAGGAAAGCACCATTTGTTAAAGAAGCTTTCATGTATATTATATACAATATAATTCATCTAAAGATGGAGCTTTTAAGCTTGGACATATGCAGTTAAAACCCATGAAATGGGATATTGTGGTCTGCCATTTCTTAGTGTGATCAGAGAGACACTTTTCCCCCTATGCTTATCAATTTTAGTCTGTTTCACATTTTCTGATTATAAACTAACTGGTGGTTACCATTGAAAACTTAAAGTAAGTTTAAGATTTTGTATATCTATGTGATAAATTTAGAAGAGGGTTCTGAAATAAGATAACTTGAAAGTGATGCAGGTGAGGAAAACTGTATTATTTATATACTATGACAAGATGCTGAATTAACATGATTAAAAGATGTTTTGTCATTTGCCAGCATTGAAAATCTCAAACTTTTTTATTGGGATAAATTAGTAATTTGATAGATGAAGATAAGAAAGTCAAATAGGAATACAAATGTGTTGCTCAGATCAAAATAGCAATACTGTCACATTCTCCTAGATCATTTAATGCAGCCTTGCATATGAATTTTGATGTCTCATATACTGGTGCATATAATTAAAAAGCATGTAGCGTCTGCTACTGCATATAATTAAAAAGCATGAAGCGTCTGCTACTGCATATGTGTGTGCAAAGCTGAGTTTGCAAGAAGCTTGCTTCTGCAGCTATGATCAAAGCAAATACATAATTTCTATGTAGACAACAGTAAACGTCATTATTGGATGTTTTCTCTTAGCCCCTGGTATGTACTTGCCATCTTTTTTTAAAAAAAGATTTCAGAGGAAAAAGTATCTGTATGCAGTGAAGATGCTTTCTATATTGAAAAAGAGGTGGAGGTGGTTTGACACTAAAGAACAGTTAGGTATCCTTTATGGAATACTGTGTTATGCTGCCCTCTTCTGGCATTATGATAAATTAATTCAGCATTCCTTCAAAATACTTAAAAAGAAAAGGAGTACTTGTGGCACCTTAGAGACTAACCAGTTTATTTGAGCATGAGCTTTCGTGAGCTTCATGAAGTGAGCTGTAGCTCACGAAAGCTCATGCTCAAATAAATTGGTTAGTCTCTAAGGTGCCACAAGTACTCCTCTTCTTTTTGCGAATACAGACTAACACGGCTGTTACTCTGAAACCTTCAAAATACTTAAAACTTCACTGTATGTTACGGAAATAAAGAACATCACAACAGAAATTTGCTTTGCCTTTTATTTAATATACATATGGATTATGCATTTGAAACCGAGAATAGATTTTTGGTCTTTTTTTTTTTTTTTTTTTTTAAAGAAGGGGAAGTGAGAATCTCTTCTGGTCACCATGTAAATTAATTCTCATGCTTCTCTTGAACCCTCCCTTGAAGATGTATATTGAAGCATTCTTCCCTCTAGCTGATGAGGGCTGAGGACTTCTTAAAACTGTCCTACTGTTTTTTACCCCGGGAATGGTTAACTTTAAAGTAGCACTTTTGGCGGACCATGGTTTTTTTTTGTTTACAGGCTACATATTGCATAACTCAAAAATATTTCCTATAATACAGCATGTAAACATACAATTAACCACGTATTAACAGTGTAAAACTGAAGTATTCTTAAATATAAAAGTCCCTTATAGCCCAGCCTTTAAATAAATAAATAAATACCAATTAAATGAATCTAAAACCTTTTTTTCCCATGTGCAGAAGAGCAGGGGATTAATAAATGGAAATAAGAAAACAATTCTGTCTTTAATTTTTTTTTCTCTACCTCTCCCAGTTTCTGCTGCTCCAAGGGCATAGGCTCCACCATGTGGCCACAAACAAATTGGTTGTGGGAGCCAATGGTACAGCAGTAATCAAAGCTGGGTGCTATGGGGCAGAGTCCACCTCCTGCTTGCGTGATGGAGAAGTGGTTGGGCTAGTGAATGGCATTGCAACATGGTGCATAGGCTTCTGCTTCCAGGATCCCCTTCATTTCCCATCAGCACAGGCTCCAGCTTCATCCCATGCTACTCAGCTCTAGTTACTTCCTTCCGACTGGCAGGGATGTGCTCTGTCCCCACCTACTGTGTGGAACGGTGGCTGGGGTCAGCTCCCAAACAGGCACCGAATGGGAAGGCAGTAGCTGGAACTGGGTGGGGTGGAGTCAGAGCCTGTGTTGATGGAGAAGTGGAGTGAAGCAGAATGGTATGAGTAGGCAGCAGTTTTACTAAAAGACTGTGCCCCTCAACAACCCGGCTCAATCTTTTTTTAAAAAAAAAAACTTTTTCTGGGGCTGCGACCCCGTCGATGGGTGGGCCAAATAAATGGTTTGGTGGTCTGGATGCAGACCCCGGACTGCCAGTTGCCCAGGCCCGTTCTAATCTCTTAATGCTTCACCACATGTTGGTCAGAGGGAATCATATTGACAGATATCCAGGTTCCAAGCAAGATGTCACTGCAGTGCTCACCATCTGGGTAGCTCAGGTGGAAAAAGATTGACTGGATTCATTATATCCGCTCATTTCAGACTATATTTATGAAAAGTAGGTAACTATTCCATAGTTACAAGTAAGTCTCTTATAAAACAGACTTTGGCCTGCATCATAATATGGGGGGGGGAGAATGGCACATCTGTTGCCAAGATAAAAAGTTTCTACCCTATTAGGAGTTAATCACACAAGGTGTGCAATGTTATAAAACATTACAAAATAAATGTTCGTTAGAGTCCAAAAAATCTTCTAACTTTGTTTGTTATTACATAGCATGAATACGAAGTGAAAGATAGATAAATTCAGTAATCTGAAGTTTTAACCACTATCGAATGCATAGAATCAAAGTTTTAGTTGGTTAAACTCTAATTATAAAGATTACTAAATGTTGAAGTAGGAATTTAATATTGGCATAACAGACTACAGTGATCTTTATGCGGTTCCTCCAGATCTCCTGTTATCCAGTGTCTTTTTACCAAACAAGGGACATTTCCTTAGATGAATGTTATGGTAGAGTTTAGGCTGAAAGTATATAACTAGGGCTGTCAAGCTATTAAAAAAAATTAATCACGCAATTAAAAAAATTAATCGCGATTAATCTCACTGTTAAACAATACCATTTATTTAAATATTTTTGGATGTTTTCTACATTTTCAAATATACTGATTTCAGTTACAACACAGAATACAAAGTGTACAGTGCTCACTTATTTATTTTCATTAAAAGTATTTGTACTGTAAAAAACCAAAATAAATCATATTTTTCAATTCACCTAATATGAGTACTGTAGTGTAATCTCTTTATCATGAAAGTTGAACTTACAAATGTATAATTATGTACAAAAAAAACAAGTTTCACATTGTTTTGTTTTTAAATTCAGTCATTTAACAAAAAAAAAATCTACATTTGTAAGTTGCACTTTCACGACAAAGAGATTGCACTAAGTACTCGAATGAGGTCAACTGAAAGATACTATTTCTTTTGTTTATCATTTTTAGAGTGCAAATATTTGTAAGCAAAAATAATATACACTTTGATTTCAATTACAACACAGAATACAATGTATATGAAAATGTAGAAAAGCATCCAAAATACTTATTTAATACATTTCAATTGGTAATCTATTATTTAACAGTGCAATTAAAACTGCAATTAATCGCAATTCATTTTTTTGAGTTAATCGCATGAGTTAACTGTAATTAATCGACAGCCCTATATATAACATGTTTTGATGGTCCTCTGGTCCCATTTGAGCCTTACACTTATTCGGGGGAATTTCACCCTCTGAAGTCTTAGTAGGATTGTCAGGTCCCGTGACCATACTTAGAAATGTTGTGAAGGGCTGACAGACCTATTTAGCGATGTTAGGAGCTGATGAGTCTGTCAAATTTAGGAGACTGCGAGCTTTACCTCCCAAGGCTCTTGAACGGTGGACCTTACAGAGAGGCTCCCAGCTGCAGACCATAAAAAGTATGCAAAAATATGTTCTTCTGTGACCTCAGAAAGTTTAGTAAGAAGCAACAGAATGCCACTTGTTCTTCCCATCTTCCAGGTTATGCCCTTGGTGGCACCCCTTTAACAGCATTTGCCTTACTGGGATTTTACATGTGACACTGATAACATAATCTGAAATCAGTGGGGTTTTACAGGTTGTGTATCTAAGCGCATAATTTAGTTTACAGAATTTCTGTCACTGATAATGTTGAGCAAGATGGGAAAAGAACCCAGGTTGAGTTTGCAGAGAGACAGTGAAGAAAAATATTCTTTTACTTGCAATATGGAAGTCGGCTAACCTCAATGATTATGGAACCTCACAAATGTATTTTTAGGTTGATTTTTATATAGCTTAGTGATAATCATAGCTCTTGATAGTAGTGATTTAAAAGTAGATTTTAAACTATTTTCTTTTGGTCTGTGTAATTTGCAATATTCTGTGATAGGTAAATTGAGTTAAATTTGCATTTTAGGCTTTTTTGTTGCCATCCTCTGATATATCTGCAACACGGAAAGTGGTTAAGGTATATAAAAAGTGGATATTGCAAGACAAGCCTGTGTTCATGGAAGAACCAGATAAACAAGAAAATATTCAAGATAATGTGTCCAACTTGGAACATACAGAGACAGATTGCAAACATGTATGGTACCAATCATTACTTACTGTGTACAAGCTGAATGATGGATATTATTCTTATTTGTCAATTCTTTTTCATAAAATTGTTTTTTTTTAATGATAGATATTTGCTTATGCACCTTTTTATTTCTTTAAGTCCAGATTTTGAAATCTGCTGAGCACCCAGCTGCTCTCAACCATGGGTGATTCTGGGTGCTGAGCTGTTTTGAAAATCTGATCTTTAATCTTTCTTTTAACTCTCTATGTAAATACCATTTTGGATGGACTTAGCGGAACAAATAGTGTTACATTCTACTGGTTTAATATTCCCCGTTTGCATGAATGTTTGTTTCCTTTTGACAGAAATACTTTAGCATGAGTATACGATAACACAATTAAAATTACAAATATTTGATTATCTAAATCCATCATAAAATCTTGTTAAGGGCCCGGCTATATTTGCAGATATTCCATCAGTTCTATGGAATATCTGGACCAAAACACTGGATCCAGACACCCTGACCTTTGGGAAGTTCAGATTCAGATCTGAACTTTGTGGCTTGAGTGCTCATATCTTAATATATTGAACCAGATGTATCTGCCCTATTCTGAGTTGTGAAGGGTATTTCTGCATTTTGGGGAACAAGAGTTAGAATATAAAAAAACTTACAGTACCAGTCTTTGCTCAGGCTGTTTTACAGAGAGCTTAAAATTCAACTAATAATTTTTTTTATTTATTAAAAAAAATTTAAAGGGAAATTTTACAGCTATGAATGGGTTATAAAAAGCATTATTAAATATTTTTAAGGTAATGTGGACTGCCCTTATACCCTATAGAAATTAGATATCTGAATAAGAGTAACTATTAATTAATGGTTATGCAAATGAGCACAGAACCTATGACTGTTCAAAATATTATTTTTTAGCTTTTATATGATCTATATAGGAATCCATATTTTATAATCCTGTATTACTAATTTACTTGTGTTTTTGAAAGCTTGCCTCTGGTCATTCTGGACATAAAAGATCTTCCAGTTGGGGAAGAACTTACTCCTTCTCTAATGCTGTTAGCAGAGGATGTGTACTAGAAGACGAAGACAAGAACGTTAAGGCTGGTGCTCAGGCTGCATTACAGGTATGGTATATAGAGAAAACATTAGGTTATCAATTTAAAAATAAATTTGTAATTATTCCATTAAATTGTTTGAGAAGTCAGCAGAAGGGACATTTTTACAAAGATGACAAATTTAATATAAGGTTTCCAATTGCTGTACTAAAGGCTGCAAAGCAGTTTCCATTCTAAGCCAATTTTCACATGCTTATAACTTTCTGAAATATTCACTTAATCTTTGCTCAAAGATGACTGTTTCTGGGGTAAGTTTAAGTAAAATTCGTGAAGTCAACTGGCCATTTATAGGGTAAAAAAACTTACTTATTTGCATGTTCAGTCTTGTCAGCACTAATAGCAATGAGGATGGAGTCAGCTGCTAAGCTCTAGCAAGTCTCTACTGAACATGTGCAAATGGCAATTTTTCAAAGGCCTATAACTTGGCCAAATTTGAGGAAATTTTCACAAACATGGCAAAAGACTGATCCCTGACACAAAAGCTCCTCCCTACCAAATTTCAAGTTCCTGCTCCAAAGCATGGGGGTGTTAGAGTATTTCAAATAAAAGGTTGCCAAAATCTTTTAACGTGGGCAAAATAATATAATTTTTACTAGCCTCATTCTCAAAATGGCTGAATTATTTTTGGCTGAAAATTTCCAAAACTATTTAGCCTGGCAAATACATCTGGCCTGAAAAATTTCAGCCCAGATGGTTAGAGGATGGGTTTTTTTCTTTTGTTGTTGTTGTTTTTTCTTTTTTAACGAAGTCATTAACAATTGAAAACAGATTTATAATGGGAAGTGCCAGGCAACCTTAATAGTAGGTGGTTTCCTGGCACTTCCAAAAATCCCACCCTTCAGAAAGTGTTGTTTTTATATTGGTCTCCCACTATATTCCAAACAGCGGGACTCTCCATCCCAGCAGATAGGAAACATATATAATTACTGATTATTCAGAGGACATGAACAGTAGAATCCCTGGTGATTTTAAGGATATTATGTAGTCTTTAGCATGATAAGCAGCATAGAACATAACTTTCATATAGGCCAAGTAGTTGAGAGAAAGTAATAAAACTTTCTCTCAACAGCCTGAATTGTTTGGGGGCATGCAACTGCACTGTGTTCACTTCCGCTGATCTGAGTCTCTTCCTTTTCGGTCTGCATATATGACCAGATAACTGAAGTGACACAGCTGTCATTAGGTTGCAGTGTTCAGTCACTTGTACATCTTAGGGATCATACAGGTAGGATCAGCAAAAGCAGTAGCTATGAACTGAGCACCTTGTAATACCCATAGAAAGGAAGTAACTGTTGGTCAAAATATGAACTTTTTTTCTTATCTCTTTGCAGAAATATTTGATAGGGAAAGCATAAAATTCAGTCAGGCACATTAATTTTACTAGTATATATAAGTCAAGATGATCAGCCAAGAAACAAATATGGCAGAGGAAGGTCACAGAGCTAGCTATCTAGAATTTAAAGACAAATCTACTTGCAATATCAACAATCAGGAGGTGACATTCTGAGCATGACAGCAGACTAACTGAGCAGGTAAAATGCACTCCAGTAATAAAGCAGCTCAACAGAGAGTTTGCTCTTGGGTGTTGCAAAAATCTAAGGGATGCCAAAGAGACTGTGTCATATATGAGTAATGCAATTTACCCCAGTTTTTAATCCAAACTAAAGATTTGTAACCCATGGAGCTATATTTTGTTTTTCAAGGGGAAACATAATTTGGTTTATGCAGTTTCTTCATCACCTCCTTTCTTTTGAACTCCATTAAAAAATGGCTAAATGTACAGTAAACCTAATTACTCTGGATTAGCCTTTGGGACTTTCTGGGGTCCCATTCTGTGTACCTAGCAATAAATGACCTGCTTAAGTAGTCTATGATGAAAGACCTTTTCTGCTAATATGCGGTCATTCCAGTTTCAAAATTCTGTCTTTGAGTGCTGTGTTTTGAGAAAATGATCCTAGTTAATGGCCCTCCAAGTTAAATTAAGGTCAGTAGGAGTCCTTTCATTAACCTTACAGATGTTGGATTGGACCCTAAAAGAGAACTCTCAATTAAAGTGGTCAGAATGCATTTACATGCCAGAAAGCACTGTGTACCTTCTCTTCCTGTGAAAAAACGGAGTTCTGATTAATGTAAACAATAATTCTAGATTTTTTTTTTTTTAAGGAGAGCTTGGATAAAGATCCTTTTGTTTGTGCTCTCAGATGTCAGGAAGCAATTGTTAGAGGAGTTGAGCATTTTCATGGGTTACCTTGTGAACGATTGGACTTCTCTCTTTTAAAAAAAATTCATATTAACTGTGTGTTCCTATCTTGCAGAACCAGACACCAGTTCTAGAGACATTAGAACACTAGACAGACAGACACTATTTCTATATTTGTGGAGTTGGGAATTACTCAGAAATCCGTACATTTTGCTAGTGCTGAATGTAAATGATCAAAAATATCAGTGGCCATTCTTTAAATATGTACTGCTAGAAAATGGGTTGGGAGGGGAAGAATACCCCCATGTGGTAGAATGGAAAAGACAAGTGTCTAAAAGATCAAGAATATGTTATACTTTTACTATAATAGTGAATATAACATGACTCTCTTCTTTTAAATGGTATGGGAGAAGAAAATAGTGTGTTAGATAATATAACATATCTTTCTTTAAGGAAAGATAAGGGTTTGGTTAGAAGAGGAAAACATGTTTGTTTTGAAACTTACCGTTGGTCTTGTTTGATACTGTGTAAACTTATTTTTTCCTAATTAAAATGCTTTGTTTTCAAGGTGTTTTTGACGAACTCTGCAAATGTTTTTTTATTGGAACCATGTACTGAAGTCCCTGCTCTCCTGAAGGAGCAAGTTGATGCTTGCAAAGCAGTTTTGAGTATTTTTAGGCACATGATAATGGAACTTTCAATGAATAAAAAGACATGGTAAGTTTTAAACGTATCTTAAAGGTTGAATAAATTAATTAATAATATTACTGCTTCTAGAATTTTAAGACAGAATAATTGAAAAAAGATGAGGGAATTTCCATAACATTTTAGTTTTTTTAATGTTTCCTTGTGTGCCTTTGTAAAAAGTATGATAAGATTGTACTTATTTTGTAAGACAGTTCATGATTCCACTGCGGGGGAAATGCCTAAAATACTGAATGTAAGAGATTTTTGTTTAAAGTTTTTGCTTATGTAACCTTCCGTTTTACTGTTCTTAGCTCAAACTTGATTCTTATTCAAACTACATTTTCAACTTTTAAAAATACAGTTTATTCAAATCTTGAAATGCTTAGTACAGATAAGTGTTCTTAAATCAGTTTTTAACTTCTTACTATACACTTTCTGTGGCTAGCTAGGGCTGCCAGATGCTTTATAATCACTAAATACATGCAAATGTGTGCATGTTTGCATGGGTTTGCACACGCACACATACACCTAACTATACATTTAATCAATCAGTGGAATTTAAAATAAACAAATGTTTGTCTTTCTAATGCTAACTGAACTAATTTTGTTTGTCAATATATGTAAAACATTACACACACAAAATTGGTAAAAGAACATTACTAGAGGATCGTACACTTGGTTGCTTCTCCAGGCCAAGTGCATCCTTCCATTTCCCCTCCCCTCCAAAAGCTCCTGGTATGCCACCACCCTCCCATCTCACTCTATTTTTGGAACACGTAGTAACCCCTCCCTCATGTCAGGGTCTCAGTATGCCCCACATTACCCCCTCACCACATGTAATGGTCTGTATGTATCTGACTTCCCCATCTCCTTGAGCAGGTCCTCAAGGAATCAATTCTGAAGCACTTAGAGGAGAGGAAAGTGATCAGGAACAGTCAGCATGGATTCACCAAGGGCAAGTCATGCCTGACTAATCTAATTGCCTTCTATGACGAGATAACTGGCTCTGTGGATGAGGGGAAAGCGGTGGACGTGTTGTTCCTTGGCTTTAGCAAAGCTTTTGACATGGCCTCCCACAGTATTCTTGCCAGCAAGTTAAAGAAGTATGGGCTGTATGAATGGACTCTAAGGTGGATAGAAAGTTGGCTAGATTGTCGGGCTCAACGGGTAGTGATCAATGGCTCCATGTCTAGTTGGCAGCCGGTATCAAGTGGAGTGCCGCAAGGGTCGGTCCTGGGGCCGGTTTTGTTCAATATCTTCATTAATGATCTGGAGAATGGTGTGGATTGCACCCTCAGCAAGTTTGCAGATGACACTAAACTGGGAGGAGTGGTAGATACGCTGGAGGGTAGGGATAGGATACAGAGGGCCCTAGACAAATTAGAGGATTGGGCCAAAAGAAGTCTGATGAGGTTCAACAAGGACAAGTGCAGAGTCCTGCACTTAGGATGGAAGAATCCAATGCACCGCTACAGACTAGGGACCGAACGGCTCGGCAGCAGTTCTGCAGAAAAGGACCTAGGGGTTACAGTGGACGAGAAGCTGGATATGAGTCAACAGTGTGCCCTTGTTGCCAAGATGGCCAGTGGCATTTTGGGATGTATAAGTAGGGGCATTGCCAGCAGATCGAGGGACGTGATCGTTCCCCTCTATTCGACATTGGTGAGGCCTCATCTGGAGTACTGTGTCCAGTTTTGGGCCCCACACTACAAGAAGAATGTGGAAAAATTGGAAAGAGTCCAGCGGAGGGCGACAAAAATGATTAGGGGACTGGAACACATGATTTATGAGGAGAGGCTGAGGGACCTGGGATTATTTAGTCTGCGGAAGAGAAGAATGAGGGGGGATTTGATAGCTGCTTTCAACTACCTGAAAGGGGGTTCCAAAGAGGATGGATCTAGACTGTTCTCAGTGGTAGCTGATGACAGAACAAGGAGTAATGGTCTCACGTTGCAGTGGGGGAGGTTTAGGTTGGATATTAGGAAAAACTTTTTCACTTGGAGGGTGGTGAAACACTGGAATGCGTTACCTAGGAAGGTGGTGGAATCTCCTTCCTTAGATATTTTTAAGGTCAGGCTTGACAAAGGCCTGGCTAGTTGGGGATTGGTCCTGCTTTGAGCGGGGGTTGGACTAGATGACCTCCTGAAATCGCTTCCAACCCTGATATTCTATGATCTCCCAGTTCACACCACCACATATGAGGGGCTTTTTGCCCCCCACGCTAGGGACTCTGCCCCCTTTTCCCCCTCGGTGTGTACTACCATTCTGTCACCTCACCCTGATTCTTATTTCTTTTCTTTACAGTGTGGGAGAGAAATCTTTCAGGGTTTAAATCTGTATTGTGAAGATGGGTAGAGCTAAAATGGGGGGGTGCTGGCATGTGCTATGGCTGTCATCATCTGGTTCTTTGATCTGTAGACATGCATAAAGGTGGTTGAAGCTGCTGGCTCTGCTAACCAGATGACAGGGGCTCCATGTGTGCTGTGTCCCCATTTCCCCCTTTTGGCTTTTCTGATTTTCATCAAATCAATAGGGTTATAGCCATTGATACCTAGAACATTCCCTTAAATTTTGGAATTGATTAGACTCTGCATTCAAAAGTTATCGCATTACAGGCAGACAGGTAGGAATGCCATTGAGTTGAGTGTAAGACCTTGTTTCACTCAGCCAATTGCGAAATCAAGCACTCAAAAGTTGGGAAATGCCAGTATCAATGTGCAACCTTAATTCCGCCCCTTCATGTGTGTGCTTTTTCATGATACAGTCTTACCAGATTCTTTGTCCCCCAATCTACTCCCGTCCTTCCCCCCAGTTCAGTTTTTGTCCCTCAACATTTGACTCAGATTTCTACCTCCTCCACGTTGCCTGAATGCCAGCGGGGGTCACTGAGAAAGACGGGTCTGGTCTCCGACCCAGACTGCATGTGCAATCTGGTCAGCACTAAGAGCTGTGAGAGGATGGAAAGTGCTCAGTCACTTTGTGGAGATGGTGCATCTTCAGAGATTTTTGGCTGCAAACTTCTAACAAGTCTCCTGAATATGTGGAAACTGATTGATTAAACTTGGACATATTAGGGCAGATTTTCATAGCAATTTCATACTTTCTTGCCCTTGACTCTGGGGACCAGGCTTTTACTTCCACCCCTAACTTGGCGTCCTCTAAAATGAAAGGGTTTTTTTTTTCCCCCTCTCTGCAAAGTGCTCCAAAAGTGATTATCTTCAACATAAGTCTCCACAGACAGTTAAAGTTGTCTTAAAGGTGACTTTCAAAGTGTTTTGAGTATTGTCACTTTTTCAGTTTGTGAGACTTTATCAGTGAATTAAGAGTGGTTTTCATATCTGGAAACTGAACAAGTAAGATTAATAAAACTTGTAATTGAAATGTGAGGTTTTATTTTGGTACCAGGGAACAGATGTTACAAATACTCCTGCGAATAACAGAAGGTGTCATGCAGAAGCCAAAGGATAACCAAGTAAAGGACATGTTTGCTCAAAGCTTGGCAGGATTACTTTTCAGGGTAAGTGCCTTTCTTTTTGATAAGAAAATGTAAAACTGAAATTGAGTGCTATTTTTGTTCTTTTTAAAAGTGTTTTTGAAAGAATGGAAAGTAAATTTCAATGACAGCTTATTTCATATAAGAAGTGGGTTTTTTATGAGATAATTTTATGCCATTCAAAAAGGTATGGTTTTATTTAAATATTGCACTGTATTACAAAAAATACTATCTGTAACCCATAAAATATTGACTCTTGTTAATAGTACAGTTTAGGGTATCGGGTACTCTATACTTCGTAGATTATAGCCACTAGAGGAAGACTTGAGCAGGTCTGTCAAGTATACTTGTATATTTTAATAAGCAGACAGACCTGCAAATGTTATATGTTATGGGATCTGCTTTTGTTACTATTGCTAGGTACAGGATGTACTAAAAATTTGCATTTCCCTTATGTTCACTGATCCCTTATTTACATGTGCTGGGTAGGTTTTCTGTTGTTTAGTCATCATGGTAGTTTATTGCTTTCTGTTCATTTTGCCCCCTTGTGGTCATACAATATTTATTTTCATATAAACTTAACCTGGATGCTTTAATAAAATAGCATATAGTCATTTTAGCGTTTGTTGCTTCAGGCTGTATAGATGAAACAGATTTTTAAAGATTTTTTTTTCCTGTCATAGAATAGAATAGAATATCAGGATTGAAAGGGACCTCAGGAGGTCATCTAGTACAATCCCCTGCTCAAAGCAGGACCAATCCCCAATTTTTGCCCCGATCCCTAAATGGCCCCCTCAAGGATTGAATTCACAACTGTGGGTTTAGCAGGCCAATGGTCAAACCACTGAGCTATCCCTCCCTGTCCTTTGTGACATCATTGTAGGACAGAGTTAATTTTGTTTGGGTGCCTTACCTGTTATCTTTATAAACTGTTGGGTATTACATGTCAGAAGCTATTCGAGATTAGTCTGTCACCTCAATGTGAATAGGATAACTTTTATCTTATGTGTAAATTGGTCTATGTGGACTCCTAAATTGATGGATGCATGATGTATTTTCTCATTTTAGATAGCCTGTTTCTAATAATTTCAGATTTAGAGAATTCTCTGGTATCAGTCATATTATTTAAAATGTTTAGACACCAAATTGGTCTATGTATATACCTGGATTTACAAGTGAATTGAGTGACCTATTCCTTACTAAAATGATGTTGAAATTCCACCATCAAAGTAGTAATTTTAACTTCCTTTATTAAAATAATCTTATAGGAGATTGAGAATAACATTCCCCCTACCAATCATGGTTATATTCTTTTTTGTAATAAATTTTCCTATGGCTTATGAAAGTAGTCAGAAATAATATAAAAAAACAAAAGTAATTTAAATAGCACATTGTGGCACAACATGGTGTGTACCAGCATCAACAAAGTTTCAGGATACTGTGATTCTTTTAATTTCATAACATCATTCAAGTTACATCCACTAAGCCAAATCAAGTATTTTTTTAGAAAAGAATACAAGCAGAAGGGAAGGAAAACTAAGTCATAAAATTTAATGCATCTATACTCAGAAATCAATCGAAAAAAGAAAATGAGGAGTTGGAAAGGAATTTTTTTCTGTGATTTTTTTTTTCTCAAAAATCATAACAGAACACATATAAAATAAATTAGTTTTCTTGTTTTTGGTGACATAGAAACATTGCTCAAGACAAAATATAAAAACAAATGTAACCTTTTATCTTTTTTAATCAGCATCCTCAACTTTGAAAAGTTGGATCTCTAGCAGCTCCTTCTGGCTATTATATGTTCATTTTCTGCATAGGCTGTGCTTTTCCATTAGAATTTTGTTTCAAATTATACTTTCCACAAACTAGTTAAATTAATATCTGCAATAAAGCAAGGGTTGCTAATTATTAGCTGATGTCACAGTAGAGCCACATCTGAAAAACAGTACAGTTGTATGAACGTCAGTTTCATTTAACTGCATTTAATTTCTAATGTAAATGTAATTTATAGCAATTTTTTAAAATGACTGTATTTTTAAAAAAAGTTCCATGTTGGAGTTAAAGGTTGCTGGGGCCATACTAGCTTCTGCAGCCTTTAATTTTTTATGTTGTATTTAGATTTCTTAAATGGAATACAGGTTCCAGAGTAGCAGCCGTGTTAGTCTGTATTCGCAAAAAGAAAAGGAGTACTTGTGGCACCTTAGAGACTAACAAATTTAGTTGAGCATAAGCTTTCGTGAGCTACAGCTCACTTCATCGGATGCATTCAGTGGAAAATACAGTGGGGAGATTTATATACATAGAGAACATGAAACAATGGGTGTTACCATACACACTGTAACCAGAGTGATCACTTAAGGTGAGCTGTTACCAACAGGAGAGCGGGGGTATGGGGGGTGTTCTGGGCCAAGGTGTTCGAAGCACCGCAGGCCGGCAGAAGTACTCTGGAAAATGAGACCCACACGCAGCTAAGCAGCGAGTTATTGGATTTATTGAAGGTTAGTTACACACCCGAAACGGGGACTCCAAGCATTGCTGTCATGGAGGCGGAGAACCCAGCACATCAGTGCTTTGCCTGGGACGGAGTCCGACGCAGGGGTAAACAGCAAGCCATAATAAGCATTACACAGAAACAGCTTATGAATATGTAATTAGGTACTTTCCTAAAGGGGCTTTCTGCTACCTGGCAAAGGGCCATGCAGGGCAGACGGAACTGGCCTAAAGCTGGTGATAGCTGATTTCCCATGTCCTACAGTGACAGGGCGGCCTCAAGAAAGCGGAAGTTCCCTGGCTAGGCCGTAACAAAGTCTTCCGCAGTCCCTTACAGGGGGGAACCTTTTGTAGTGATAATCAAGGTGGGCCATCTCCAGCAGTTTACAAGAACGTCTGAGGAACAGTAGGGGTGGGGATAAACATGGAAAAATAGTTTTACTTTGTGTAATGACCCTTCCATTCCCAGTCTCTATTCAAGCCTAAGTTAATTATATCGAGTTTGCAAATTAATTCCAATTCAGCAGTCTCTCGTTGGAGTCTGTTTTTGAAGTTTTTTTGTTGAAGAATTGTCACTTTTAGGTCTCTAATCGAGTGACCAGAGAGATTGACCCATCACTCTCACAGATCTTGGGAGACAGGCCAGTCCTTGCTCACAGAAAGCCTCCCAACCTGAAGCAAATACTCACCAGCAACCACACAACAGAACCACTAACCCAGGAACCTATCCTTGCAACAAAGCCCGTTGCCAACTGTGTCCGCATATCTATTCAGGTGACGCCATCATAGGGCCTAATCACATCAGTCACACTATCAGAGGCTCGTTCACCTGCACATCTACCAATGTGATATATGCCATCATGTGCCAGCAATGCCCCGCTGCCGTGAACATTGGTCAAACTGGACAGTCTCTATGTAAAAGAATAAATGGACACAAATCAGACGTCAAGAATTATAACATTCATAAACCAATCGGAGAACACTTCAATCTCTCTGGTCACTCGATTATAGACCTAAAAGTGGCAATTCTTCAACAAAAAGACTTCAAAAACAGACTCCAACGAGAGACTGCTGAATTGGAATTAATTTGCAAACTGGATACAATTAACTTAGGCTTGAATAGAGACTGGCAGTGGATGGTGCCTTACACAAAGTAAAACTGTTTCCCCATGTTTATCCCCTCTTCCCCCCCCACTCTCCTGCTGGTAATAGCTCACCTTAAGTGATCACTTTGGTTACAGTGTGTATGGTAACACCCATTGTTTCATGTTCTCTATGTATATAAATCTCCCCACTGTATTTTCCACTGAACGCATCCGATGAAGTGAGCTGTAGCTCACGAAAGCTTATGCTCAAATAAATTTGTTAGTCTCTAAGGTGCCACAAGTACTCCTTTTCTTTAAATGGAATAATTTACTTGAAATCTTAAGTAATTATTCATCTTTTCTTCTTTGAGTGACTGTGCATGTGTATTCCACTTCTGGTGTGCATGCTCCCCACACACACTTCATCAAATTCTTTTGGTCAGAAGTGTCCATTGAGGCCAATCCTGTGCCCTGGGTGCCATTGCCCTTTATGCCTTCCGATGGAAGGGGGAGATACAAAGAAGGCTAAAACTTGTCCCTCCTGTGATGCAGCTATTCCACTTAATGATGGGCATTTGAGGGGCCTTTCTTAGAGAGAGGCAAATGTCTGATAAATGCTCAATCTGTCATTCCTTCTCCAGGAGGACACACAAGTTAGGAGTGCTCTATGAGAGTCTCCTCAGAACCAGAGAAAACGTGCCTACCAGGCCTGAATAGGTATCCACAGTTAGTGCTCCTGGAAGTGGCAGCTCAGATCCAAGACCCCAAGGCTCACAGTTCATAAAAAAGTTCAGACCCTTCTACAATCAGAGGAGTAGGGAAGCTAAGTCCTCCTCCACTCAGTTATCTGAAAGGGGTAGGAACGAATGTTATTTCCACAGTGAGTGCAGGCCTAGGTTACCCTTACTGGAACCTAGTAAAACGGGGCATAAATCTCCTCATCTCTCAGCCAAAAGGTCCAAATTGAGTCCCTCTGACACCTTGGCAAAAACCCATCACTGAGAACACTTGGTAGCCTTTGAGACAATGTTCTGCACGTCACCGATACCAATCTGTTGGTACTGACATCACCTCACACAGTGCTGATGACGTATTCTCCTCAGCTCCAGTGCCAACCCTGTTGGTTCTCCCAGCACTAATATTCCTGGCACCCACATTATTTTCAGGACTAAGTGATCTTGTGGTGACTGCTAAACCTGAATTACTAGTACTCTCCTCAGCTCTTAGTGCCCTGTATCCGTACTGTTACAGTACCAGCCAGCTCTTCAGCTCTGGTGGTGAGGAAAGAAAGACAGGGCCATCTCCTTTCTTGTAGAAGCAGGGGAAGGAAGGTAGAATCAAGTGAAAGAAAACCCCTAGAGGGGGTGGGAGAGGAGCTATTCCTTTCCATTCCATGGCCAGAAGTCCTGATCGTCCCCCTCTCCCACGCAGAATTAAGTCCTGATGTGCTGCTGAAATAGGGGGGCATTACTGTTGCAGAATTTTGTCTCTTTATACACGGGGTCCTATTTTATAGTTCTTTTCTTGTTAGATGCTAAACTCATTTAACTCCCATGAAACCATGATTTCTGTTTGTAGTTCTTGATAATTTTTCAGTAACAGCCTCAGGAAGTGGCAAATTCTGAAAGTAAAGAATAACAGAAGGAAAGAAAGACAATTCATTTTAGTGACTGAAAATTAAAAATATGAAAAGCTGTTACAAAAGTCTAAATTCTCTTGGTCTTTGGACATACATTTTCAAATTTTTTAATTCTGTGCTTTTTAGAAATGTACAAAATGTCATTGCTTTTCTATTTCCCAGACTCTTATTGTGGCTTGGATCCGAGCAAATCTGAGTGTTTACATTTCTCGAGAACTCTGGGATGAGCTGCTCAGCATACTGTCTTCCCTTACTGACTGGGAGGAGCTGATAACTGAATGGGCCAACATCATGGATTCTCTAACGGTGGTGTTAGCAAGAATGGTATATGGAGTTGAAATGACAAACTTACCACTGGATAAACTAAGTGAGCAAAAGGAAAAAAAACAAAGAGGCAAAGGTAAAGTCTCTCTTCTTCAGTGTATTTTATGTTAAATAAGTTAAGATACTCAAACTTAGTTGGACCATATTAGATTTTCAAATGTAAACATTATGGTTCTTTACACATTGTAAAGATTCATTTGAAAAAATGCACTCCATTTTACTTTACTTAGTATTATTACATGCAAAAAATCGAGCATCTGCATTAGTAAGATACTTATACTGATCTGTTTTTATAAACTTTTTTAAAAATGTAGATGGATGCTTAGGGGTTCAACACCAGTCTCTGCTGCAGTAGTAGGAATGGAGCACAGCTGCTTGTGCTGCAATCTGCGCATAGCCACCAACACTAGAAATCCTTTTTCATATAATTGCATTTTATTTTAATAAACCTGTTTAAGTAAGAGTCTGGGGGCCAGTGGAGGATTTTGTGTGCAGTCTTGTGAATCTTAGCACCACTTTCAAGGCAATTTACAATAATTAACTAATTGAATTATCTTAGTGAACATGGATAGAGCGCTGTGAGGTAGATAAATGTAATTCCCATTTTACAGGTGGGAAAACTAAGGCAAAAAGACCCAAGGTGAGATCCTTTTCCCTGCACCAACCCTCTTATGCTGGGTAAAAGGGCCAGAGCAGCATAGAGGGTCTTATAGACTATAACTGGCCAGGAGGCTATTCACCTGGCAAAGGCACTGTGCAAGATAGCCTTAAGGCTGTCCTGCAAGGACTTCCTCACAAGCCAGGGGTCAGGGCTGACACCAGGAGGAGCATGTTTTATGGGGGCAGGGATACAGTGCTGCAGTGATGAAGTGGGGTGTAGCTCACAAAAGCTTATGCTCAAATAAACTGGTTAGTCTCTAAGGTGCCACAAGTCCTCCTATTCTTTTTGCCCATACGGTAGTCACAGGAAGTTGCCATAATTTAGGCAGACCCCTAGGGTTGTCCAAGTTACACCAGAGGCCTCTCTAGCCTCTGAAGCAACTCAGGATCAGGAGGGTGGAAAGGTGACTTAGTCATCTTAGCATCTCCTCCCTCTGGGCTGCAAGGTCTGTATTGTGTCTTAGAGGTACAGCACAGAATTTCATCCCTAAGGTTTGCCCAAGACAATATAGAGAGTTAATATTAGAACCAGGATTAAAACACAGGAATCCCTTGCTCTCACTTACGTATTTACTATCGGCTTTACTAGGTTGCTGCTCCTAACTCGACTGAAATGTCACCGGTTGTGGGCAGAAGCCTCACTGGTAGCTCAGCACATGAGCTAGTTCAACTGCAGGCTGTTACCCACAGAGAAGCTTGCATTGACCTTACACGATTAATGACAGCACTGTCCATCCCTTACCTCAAGTCCTTATTTGTTCTAGGATTTCCCTCAAAAATTAGAGGTCCAATTTCACAACTCCCAAAGGCCATCCCTGGGTGCTGACCATGAATAATCTGAGATTCAGAAAAAGTAACTAACAAGCTTTTAGGTCTAGTGATGAGTTTAGTTTTCTCTACTACCTCCATAAAAGGAATAGGATTTAGAAGCATGTAGACCAAAATTATTAAAAAGGGGGTGTCTAAAGTTAGACATCTAAATAAGTGGCCTGATTTTCAAAAATGCCAAGCACCCAGCAGCACCCATTGAAATCAGTTTGTTTTCTCAGGTTCTCAACTTTTAGCACCCTTATTTTTAGATTTGGTCATAGATTAAACTTAACACTTCGACTCCCTGATTTTCAGGATGTCTAATAGGTGGAGCAAGGTGGACTCTCAATGCCAGTGACTTGATTCTTGAATTTAAATCAAGGAATACTCGGTACAGTACGGTGTTATTGTAAAAACCTATTTTGACTCTTGATTAAGTCCTGACACTTTGGGTTCTGGTCAAGTGACAAATAACTATGTTATTTGAAAAAATGAATAGAAAGAAGAAACAATGGGAGGAATTGTAATACATGAGCTTTGTGGGACAACTTCTTCCTAGTTGGCATCTCTTAAATTATTTTGAATAATATTTTTCTGCCAAAAATAATAGGTTTAAAACTTGTCCCATTTTAGTTCCTTTTTGTAGAAACACTTAACTCTATGTAGTATGAAATAAGCATAGCATTAATTGTAAATGATTCTAGATTGATGTTGCTTTTGCTTGCTCTATCTCAAAGGTGGCATCTCAGATCCTCAAAAGACAACTACAATGGGACGATCGTTTTCATTAAGCTGGAGAAGTCATCCTGAAGTTGCGGAACCAATGAGATTCAGGAGTGCTACTACCTCTGGAGCACCCGGAATTGAGAAAGCAAGAAACATAGTCCGACAGAGAGCAACAGGTTAGGCACTGGCTGCTTTAACATCTTAATTATAAATTGCAAGATCAACATTTATAAAACTGAAATTATTTTAAAATCTCCTCTCGTGACTTTTAATTAGGAATAAATGTTTGCAAATCTGTCTCTAAATCTTTTTCTTCACTTTTCTTATACCTAGAAAGAGAGGTCAGTTTTATTTACGTCAGGAATCCTTTTAGTCAAACATACTATGATTATATAAAATAGGAGAGATTTATTGATTACTGAGGTTAGGACACAATGATTTAATATTTTGTTGAGTGTGGTTTTTTTTATTAAATGGGCTAGATAATAAAGAATGATTGGCTAAGTATTGTAAACTATATAGATATACTATACTAATGTATTTGTAAAAGCTGGGACTTTTTAGCCAGCATGACTACCTTTCAGATATTTAGAGTAATTTTTTATAAAAGCAATAACTCACGTCATCACAGGCCACTGTTCCCAGGAAAATTCAGCATTCACGAGTGAATCAAGACACTTTGGCTTCATTCCTTAAAACTTTTCTCAGACTTTCAAGCACTGGTACAAATACCCAGATTATCATGTCTTGCTGATGTTTACATATATGCTGTGCAAAATAATCCTGTTAGTGTAGTATTAAGATATTGTATTTTCTGGCTTTAAAACTGTATGTGTTCACAATAATCTTTTTCTTCCACCTTGCTGCTTTTACCAGATCTGAATTGTAAAACACCCTTGGATTTTTTTGGTGAAGGATTCTGGATGAAAATATTTTAGTGTATTCATTATGAATAGGTTCTTTTATGTGTATACTAAATTCTGGACTACATGATTTAGTATTTGGTAAACATTATATGGAGGTGTAGAAATACTTTGAAGTTTCATTAAACAGTTCTAGTACCTGTAAATTAAGCAAGTAAATTAATGAGAGGTTTACAGAATACTAGGAAATATATAATACCTCCTATTATTGAGGAATTCTCTTACTACAATCAATGAAAAAGAGCTGCAAGACTAAGCCATTTTCCACAAAATATTGTATTTTTATAACTGTAAAAATATCAAACAGTTAATAAATAGTTATGGCATAGTCTATCACTTTTACAACCTAATAAGAGATTTTTATTTTAATAATTCTAAAATGTCAATTTTTTAAAAATGATCATCATTATCTGATAAAGCTAACCAGGATAAGAATTCTTTGTATTTAGTTGTACTTAACATCCATATCTATATCCCTTTGTATACTTTATTACATCTTACACTTTCTCGATATAGAGACCTTTTTAAAATTTGTTTTGTGATTTCTCTAAAGTGAAATATACATCTGTAGCACTGTGCATAATGGCAAGTTTTAAAAAATGGGTACCCAAATTAAGCTCTTAAATCCGTATTTTAGGTGCCCGAATAAGTTACCTGATTTTCAGCAGTGCTGAGTTCCCAGCACTTTTGAAAATATGGCCAAATAAATATGTACGGTAGTTCAATATGTATATACAGTAGCTCGGTGTTCACCAGTTTCTTTTTTCTCTTGTTTGTTCTATAAAGAAAGAGAGAGAAAATGAGAAAAATAAGAGGAAAGTGAGAGCAGGTCAGGGAATGAGGCTGATGGAAGAGTGTCCCTGAGTCCTGAGATGCAGAAGAGAATACAGGGTTTTCAAACACTCCAGCAGCCTGGTTTTGAGCTTCAGATAGTAGATTGTCTTTCTCTGATATGATGGTTACAAGTGCCGCTCATTCCAGTTCAATGGGCCATCAAGCAGCAGCCACAGCAGATGTTCATTACCGCTTTTGAGTGAGGGATATTCCTTTTCACAGCTTCTCTCCTCATTCATAACAAACGGGTAGCTCATTGTTGAATTTGGAGACAGTCAAACGTTGTTGCTGGAGGCTCCAGGACTAGGCCCTGCCCTCCTGGTCAGATCACCAGAAATTCAGTCTTTCATAATAGAAACAAGTTGGTGGTTCAGTTTCTCCTAACCACTTTGTTATAACTTCAGTTTCTTCGTCAAGTAGTGTCCCTATTAGTGCTCCATTCCAGGTGCGCATGCGCCACTCGAGCCCTTGATTGACGATTTCTAGCTAGTTATGCCTGTTCATCCTGCGCATGTGCCCTATGCCTCCTCGTGGCAGACTCTGAGGCTATAGAGGAGTGTGTGGAAGAACAGCCCTCAGTTCTTTCTCTACAGCCTCGGCCTGACACAAAACAGTAGTGTGCCTGCCTAGAGCATACTTGGCCTTTCTCTTTACTTTTGCTATGCAAGTTAGTTTAGTATATTTAGTTTTGGTGAGAGGACTGTTTTCTCTCTTCCTCAGGGAGACTTGTCTTCTCTGGTAGGGTGTGCCTGGTTTGCCAGGCTTCAAATGTTGCCTCTCCTGCCGGGAGACTATGCCAGTGAGCGATGGAGACTCCAGGTGGCTCCGTTGTTTGGGAGAGTCCTATATCTCCCAGAAGTGCTCCTTTTGTTTAGTCCTTAAGTCCAGGAAGTCTAGGAAGAACAGGGAGATAAGGCTTAGACTTGTTGGCAATGGAGCGTTTCCTGCAATTGCCCTCTGAGCCAGATGAAGAGACCACATCCAGATTTCAGCAGCTTACCTTAAAGGCATCCAGAACACCACTGCCGATGCGCTCAGCAGACACTTCTCCCATGACTACAAATGGGAGCTGGACCCGCAGGTCCTCCAGGACATATTCCGGAGATGGGGACAGCCAGAGATTGATTTTTATGCCACCTCCAAGAACAGGAAGTATTCTCTCTTCTGTTTAAGGGGAGGTCTGAGTCATTGCTTCCTGGGGGACACCCTTCTTTTTCCATGGAAGAGGAGTCTGTTCTCTGATGCCCCTAATTCCAAGGTTGATTAACAGGATCAGGCAGGCCAGCCAAGGCCGGAGTTCTTTTCAAAGTACCTACCTGACTGAGACAACCTTGGTACCATTACCTGCTTTAGCTCTGAGTACAACCACTGATCAAGTTCCCCATCTCCTGTCTCAGAATGTGGGTCACATGATTCACCCCAACTTGGTGGTTCTACATCTCAGAGCCTGGCTCCTGGAGGTTCTCATAAATAGAGGTTTCCTGCTCCAGAGAGGTGCAGCAGCTGTTATTACACAGCAGAATGAAGTCTGCCTGCACTGCTTACCTGCAGAAACGGAAGAGATGCATCCACTGCTGCGGTTGTTGCTACCTGTGATCTGAATTGGTTCCCCTTTCCTTCATCTTGGATTACTTGCTGAATCTGAAGACATCCAGATTATTCATCAGCTCAGTCAAGGTTCACCTGGCTCCTGTATCAGCCTTCCATCCCCCGATGGAGGGATTCTCCATTTTTGCTCACCCAGTATCATCCAGATTTATTAAGGGTCTGCATAATCTCTTTCCCCACATTAGAAACCACACTCCTTCTTGGAACCTCAATCTGGTTCTCAACCACCTCACGAGATCCCCATTTGAACCAATAGTTACCTTTTCCATTCTTCTTTTATCTATGAAGACGGTCTTCGTAGTTGCTATCACATTGGCTCATAGGGTAGGGAGATTGGAGCTTTGGAGCAGATTCCCTCTATACCATTTCTTTCATGATAAAATCTCTTTACATCTAACTCCCAGGATCCTACCTGAGGTTACATTGGATTTTCATCTTAACCAGTCTGTCCTTCTGAAACCTCACAATTCCATATCCTGGATGTTGGAAAGGATTTAGCCTTCTACTTGAATAGGACTAAGTGGTTTAGGAGATCACCTAGACGCTTCATATACTAAATCCCTAGATCTAAGGCCCAAAGGTCTGCCCAAAGACTTTTAAAATGGATATTGGGTTGTATCTTACACCTGTTACCAATCTGCAGGTGCTCAGCCCCCCAGGGGTGTGAGAGCTCATTCAACCAGATTGCAAGTGACATACAGTGGATTTCTGAAGAATGTCCCAATTTCTGAGATATGTAGAGTTGCTACCTGATCTTCAGTCTATACGTTTTCAGAGCATTACACCCCACTCCATGCCATCAAATCCAATGTGGCACCTGGCTCTGTGGTACTATCTTCAGTTCTAGAACCCGTTCCAAAGGCAACCGCCCCCCTACCCCCGCCTTCTCCTCCTTCTGAGGATATCGCTTAGAAGTCACAGAGCCACTACTAAAAGAAAAAAGGAAATGTTACTCACCTGTACAGTAACTGTAGTTCTTTGAAGTGTGTGGGTTCTTCATTACCTGCCCTCCTTTCCCTCTCCTTCAGTAATTCTTTGGATGATGACAGAGTAGAGAAGGAACTGAGTGCAGTTCACCCATGCACCCCTATATAAGCTTGGTATCTACCACAATGAGACATAGGGTGAGTGTGTGGACCAAACAGGGACTGCTAGCTAGAAATCTCCAATTGGGGGCTCAAGAGGCACGTGCACACCTAGAGTGCAGCGCACACAGAGGGACACACCTTGAAGAAATACAGTTACTGCATAGGATGAATAACATTTCCTTTTATTCATTTTTGTGTGGTAGTGACTTCATTTCAGCTTCTAATTCTGCTTTTTGTCTCCTGAGCTGAGGATGTCGTAAGATCTGAAAGGGGTCTTCTCATTGAAACTAAATGTTTTACACTAAAATATTTTATAAGAATATATGGAAATTTAATGTGTTTGGGGAAACTAAGGTTGGTGCAACATTAGCTCTACCAGTGAAAGACAGTCACACCTTTACAAAGCGACTTCCTTCCAAAAGATCCCACTGAAGATAAGAGTTAGGATACTCGACACAGAAATTTTTAACTCTTGAGTATGGTCACTCAGACCAGAAACATTCCCTGTCCTTAGTAAGGAAAGACTACTTGGTGGCAAGCAAGTAGTTTTCTGTCTAAGGGTATGAATCTCGCTTTGAGTGTGAGATGTTTGATTCACATTCTGATTGAATTCTTGCAGCCTTGTGCAAAATATTTTTTTCTTGGCTAAGCCTACTGCAGTTTTATAAGGGGGGGAAGTGTGGTGGAATGCACTCCTGGATTCACACCCTGCACCTGAAGTAATAATCTTTGTACAGGGCATGCCTTGTGAGGTATCTTTTGAAAACTCATAACTTGCTGAGCAGTAATATCATGGTAAAATGCATGTAGCAACATTATATGTAAATTTATTCATATAATCTGAAATCATGGCTGAAGTGTGTTTCCCAGACAAGTCTCAGGAGTAGCTAAACCAGTTTCTCAAAGACAAAAGGTACGCTGATGCCCCATCCACGTGTCAACAAAGCTGGTGGGCCACCACCTATCAAGTGGCCATTCTTTGGCAAGGACGGGGACAGGGACAAAGAGATCTGCATCTTAGCAAAGAAATAGCATGAGGTCTCCTTCCTCCACCAGATTCCCTGTCTCTTGGTTCTCAGCTGGAAATGCTTTTAAAAGAGGGACTGACACTATAAAAAGAAGGGGTAAACAACCCAAGACACCTCTCCCTCCCTCCCTTTCCTCACTCTTTGCACCTTAGAAGACAAAAGAAGCAGCTGTTGGACTGTGGGGGAGCGGTCCTGACCTGAAGTACTTAGTCAGTAATGCTGCTGGAGACGTGGTGAGAAATTTTCCTTTAAATTTAATATAGTTCAAGTTAGGCACTAGAAAGCGTTTTATCTTTATTTTTCTTGTGACCATTTCTGACTCTTATGTCTCATTGCTTGTACTCAGTTAGTAAATTTGTTTTGCTGTTTTATCAAGTTATTGTGACTGGGTAACTCCATGTAAGGTGGTGCCTTGTTGTTTGTTAGTTCCTTAAAGGAATAATGAACATAATATATTTGAACTGTCCAGGAGAGGGCTGGAGGTTAATGCTGCAGTGCATTATAATGGCCAGTTGGAAGTTGAAGCCTCAGTTGCCAAAATTTTAAACAAAATCATTAGTATAATTTTCTACTGTTTGGCTGCACTGGAGGTTAGTTGCAAGAGCTTCATGGAGTGGGGGGACTGTTCCTATATGCATAGATGCAGTTGTGGAGGAGGAGGGATTGTTCTGAATGTCACCACGGCATAGGCCGACTCCTTGGGTGCTCCGGGGCTGGAGCACCCATGGAGAAAAAATAGTTGGTGCTCACCACCCACTGTTGGCCCCGCTGATCAGCTCCTCCCCCTCCCTCCCAGCACCTCCCGCCCACCATGATCAGCTGTTCAGCAGCATGCAGGAGGTGCTGGGGGTGGGGAACGAGAGCGGGGCATGCTCGGGGGAGGGGTCGGAATGGGAGTGGGAAGATGCAGGGCGGAGCAGGGGCAGGAAGAGGCGGAGTGGGAAGAGGTGAGGTGGGGCCTTGGGAGAAGGGGTGGAGGGGGGCAGAGCCAGGTGGCAAGCAGCCCCCCAAAATTGACAGTCAGTGCTCTGCACCATGGCTGTCAGCAGAGGAAAAATTCTCCTTGAGTTGGATGATTTTCTAACCCAGCAGAACCCATAAGAAGTGCTGGCATAAGGTTGAGATTCTAGTGCTGAAGGTGTTCTGTGGGCAGTTTAATGTTTTTGTAATTTATGACAGGGGAACCTGGAGCGTTGAATGGATGCTCCTTTTTATTTTGTGTATAAATTTAAATAAATATCAAAGTGGGGACAGACGTTGTACATGATTCTGAGGCATGCAAGAATATGCTGTATGACTGCTGTGATATCAGAATCTAGATGCTTTTTTACCAAAGGTGAACTCCTCTTTCCGTGCATTGCAGGAAATTGTCCTCCCATCTTTTTCCCTTGACCTACAATTTAGGCTATGGCAGAATCTAGATGCTCTTAGAGCACTAAAAATATACTTCATGAGCATCAAATTAACAAGGAGGTCAGGCTCTTTATCTTCTTTAATCAGAAGTGCCAAAAATGGACTTTGGACGATCAAATTATGCATCACAGAGTCATACAATGAATCATGTGAACCTTTTCCTGATGGAATCAAGGCGTACTCCACAAGGTCTTTGGTGACATCATGAACAGAAAAAAGCTTTTGCTTCCACTGAGGAAATCTGCAGGGCAGCAACAAGATCCTCTGTTAACACCTTTGTTAGATACTAGAATATGGACTTGCTATCCTCTGCAGACTTGCTTTACGTCATGTTGCGTGCGATGGTCCACAAACAGCTTGCCAGTTTGATACTTAATTTCAGGGGGAAACTTTCCCTATCTCAGTCTATTTCTTTATCCCTCTCTACTTATGTTCACTGGTTGCTACTTCCCATACACCTCAGAATTGTGGAGAAGCTGGGGCTGCAGAATGGGAAATTTCTTAACAGATCATTTCCTTTTTACTAGCAGCGTCTTCCACATTTCTACCTTCCCTACATGGCTTCTTAGCCAAGGGACAAAATTTAATTTTTATATTTACAATTCGTGGGCCGCTATACATAGTTTACTGATTGGCTTTGAAGTTAATGTTGCATGTTATATTTTCAGAGTTTGTACACAATATTGGAATGAATTATCTGGTGGCAAGCCAGAGAAGGGGCATCTCCTGCACAGACTGTGTTACAATGTTGAACCACCTCCAGAACTGCAGAGAGGAGCCCATACATCTCCGAATTGAGAGAGACAGATAACAGAAAAGAAATGATCCAGGAAGAAATTTCCCATTCATTTAGTTTTGAGATGCACACATAGTTGGATATATTTCTCTTCTGTTTTCTAAAATTCTTAAGTATTAAACAAAGGTTTGGGATAGGTTAGAGTGGTGGCACATCATAATTTTACAGAGTTACTGAGTAAGATTTAGTTAGATAACCAGTATGTTAATTGACAAAATGGATTTATGGGAAGATATGGTATTGTAAGATTTCACAATCTTGTAAAGAAAAAAGACCCTGCTGATTATTGCACATTTATTATGTGGCAATTTTATTCCAACACATTCAAACGTTTACTGTATGGGAATTCATTTTTATGTAGGATTTCTGAATATTTATGTTAAAGAACTGTTTCAGATGTGTGTTGCATTTATTTTGCCATGACACTTAAAGAATCACCTTAGAAAAATCCCTATATTTTACTGTTCTTCTGACATAATTATTACTTTATTTTTCCCTGGAAGCTAAGCGAAGCCAGTCTATCAGCAACTGTGTTCATCTTTATGAGGCTTTGCCAGCCACTAAAAGTGTACCTCTTCTGCTTCACACTGTGAGCTCTCTCTTACCTGGTATCTCTTACACTTCTTGCTCTCACAGACTTTCAGGTACTGTACTTAAAGCCACCTTGTATCTAAATGTTCTTTATATTTTTTAAACTGCTGTTGCTGGCTTTTTCTGTCTCTTTAATTATTCTACAGTACTGTGCGTTAGTATGGTTTACACGGCGCTCTCTCTCTCTCCTTCCCTTACAATTAATCAGTAACAACTTCTGTTGTTAAAGCAGCATTCTGTCGTCCTTGGGAGATGTTTCCTCTTTAATCATAAGGTTATCTCATGTTCACTATCAAATTTTGTTTGGATGGTAAGTTCTGATATTTAAATAATTCTAGTGATTTTTATTTTTGGGTTACTGGAACTGTACTTACTGTCAAAATGGGGCACCATTTTGAGGAAGAGGAGAACAAAAGCTTTTTAAATATTTCTTTTTTGGAGTAGTTTCAGGGAAAATATTCCCAAAGCTATTTGGATGGTTGGGCCCAATGCTTCAAAACAAATCATGCTGGAGAAATCCAGCTAGCCACAGCTTTTTGACAATAAATCCCATTCACTGTCAATCTAACAATGAGGTCACACAAGTTAATGCTAATTGTAAATGTTTGCCTCTAAAGACATTTTCCTGGGGATCCTGATTTCAGAAACAAAAAATCTTTCTATCTATGCTTCTTATTACCAAAAAAATATTTAAACATACAAGGCTTAGACAGTATCATTTTTCTGTTTTTGTTCAGACGTTTGGAGCCCCACAAACTATTCTGTTTTATACACTTAAACATAAGGATTTATCTTGACCTACAGTTTATTTAGGTATGTCTTCCTTTGTAACTAAATTAAAATGTATCTGAATTTAATTGCTTTCCCATTAATTATATAGACTGGCAGGGTCAGGTAATATCTTTATTAGATGAACTTCTGTTGGTGAAAGAGACAAGCTTGACCACTTCATTGAACTAAAAATAGACCCATTAAATTACTGCTAGAGAGCTAAGCTTTATTTTAAATAAAAATGTAAATTCTTGCTTTTGAGAAGCCTCGACATGTAAAGCAACTAATAGAGTTTTATCAATGTGAAATTTAGGCTATTTTCTATTAAAATTGAAGTGAATCAGGCAATTCATTTATAAACTAACACTCAAAGGTGGGGTGGTCAGAGAGTGTGGAGAGGGGAATGTCTTCCTTTTTTTTCTGGTCCCCACCACAATCCCCTGCTAGCCCCACTGCTCCCTTCTGCAGACTGCCTTTGGTGTTCACTTCATGTAGACTTTAGGAGATATGCAGGAGGTAGGCATGAAGAGGGGCAGCAGAACAAAGGTGCCAACAGACAAAGGTTTGAAAGGCATAGTGGAGGAGTAAGGAAGGGTTGGGGGAGTGGAGAACAGTTGTGTTGAATTCTCAGGGATGGTCTTGAATTGTCCCACAGTGAGTTGAAAGCTGATGGAAAGTTCAGTGTAACTTATATGCTTGTTATGTAACATTGTTTGAAGAAACCAGAGCTTGGAATCAATGGCGTAATCTGTATTTGTCTGAACTAAGATTCTGAGTAGGATTTTCAAGGCTCCCAAGGAATTGCCCTAGCAAGAGACCTTAAAAACATTTTTAAGAAGAGAGGAAGAGTGCATATGTGAATCATTGGATACTTGTTCTGATGAGTCCCTTTTGATAGGATATGTTTGCTATACCATTGGGACATTTTCTAGGAAAGAGCTGACTGTTAGCTTAGGCGTGGCAGGGAGCATTAACTAGCATCACTGCCAGGCCTGTCCCTACCACATGCTAGGACCCACGACTTTACCATCAAAATCTTAGGTCTTCTGTTTCTTGATCCCGGGAGAAATTCTGACTAGTCAAAAAGAATCATCTCCACAATTGTGTTCTGACTAACTCCTGAGATATGAACCTAAAGTTCCTGCTGTCACTCCTTTGCTTGTGTGTTAGTTTCCATTTTCCCCCACTTGACCCCTCATATTTCTCTCTTCTCTCTATCTGTTTGACTTCAGTCTAATGAGAGTTCAGCTTAACCTGCCAGGACAAATCAAACCATGCAATCTTTTGCTGTATCCAGAGAGGCAAGATAAAAAGATACTGTAGTCCAATTCTGGTAATTGTTTTGCCAGATCCTGAAGAGGCTAATAAGATTGTGTGCTACTCATGTTACTTTTGCAGCAAATGAATTACAGCTGCAAACAGAGACAGATGCTGAATTTTGCTGCGTTTTCTTTCTTCACCTTTGTGTGCTTGTCTTGTTCTATCTTATGAAGAAACAGGATCAGACTTTAATACCTAAACCCAAGAGCTAAAACTTAAAACTGAGTCTCCATTTTTCCCATCAAGCATATTTGATATCCTATAAGAAACTGTCAAGTAAGGGATTTTGCTGTCTTATAAAGAGAGAAGGAATGAGAGAGAAAGTGTGTTAGTTATGGTTTACATAATTTTTAAAAATGCTTTAAATCTCTAAACTTTTTTCTTTTTGTATATTTAATATATATATTAAACAGAGTTTCTGAAATTGGTAATGCACAACAAGCAAAACAAATTTCCTTGCAACATAAACCTGAACCAAGTTAATGTTGTCGTTGAGGCAGTTAAATAAATAAATAGGTAAATTAAAATTTTTAACATGCTAAAAACTCTATCCAGTCCCCACCAAGGCAGAGACTATTGCTTATACTTAACTAACCCTGCTAATAGCCTTGGGACACTTGCTGAGGATTTTCTAACATGCCTTAGTAGACTTATAGAGGGGTCCAATCGTTCATAAGCCTTAATAGGTTAATTGGGATCCCTTAAGGATTCTGGTGGGCGAGAATGGTTTTATTAGGTTTGGCAGATTTTCATGGCCCTCAGGGTCATCAGCCCAGATAGAACTGTCCAAAGACTGACAATCTCATTAGGCCTGTCAGGTTACTAATGTTTCAGATTTTGCTCATCAAGAAAGAACAAGTTTTCTAAGGTTAGGAAGATTTGGTTGGCCACTGAAGAGGAAGCTATGCCTCACAGGACACTGGATATTTCTAAGCTCTGCCCACCTATCTTATAAGGCAAATAACAGAACCTCACATTCCTTCTAGCACCTGCATGTAGGGAGTTTAGGGAAGGGGGAGGGGTATAAATTTGCTAATACCTGCAGAGTGGACCTCCTGTGTACCTCCTAAGGCGTGCAGGTATTGCTCTTATGGATGTGAGACGATCCACTGGAAGGACAGGGACCCCCCCCCCACCCCCCCAGTGTGCTGCTCCTTATATCTCCTATTCTTCTCCCAACTTGCAAATCTCATCAGTCGGCAGGAAAAGATCCAGCTTTCTGTGCACATTCTAAGGAATGCAGGAAAGGTGATCCCCCTCCTGTATGTCTATGGAGGCACCTAAGTCTGAGTTGCAACACGTGAACAAACCAATGGTCCATTTAGTTCAGTGTCCAGTCTGTGCCAGTGATGAATGCTGGATGATTGAGGAAGGTATAACTAAGTGAATAGGCTATGAGGGAGTCAGTTGGAATGGGGAGAACGTTCTGCCCCTAGATTTTACCTGCCCCCTACTTATTGTTATGAATGTCTAATACTGCTTGAGACTTACTAATCTGTTTTTCTGAATCAAATCCCTTAGAAGTGAGTCCCATTGGAGAGTTATGCAAGATGTTTATTAAACATATATATATTATTTTTATTCATTTTGAATTTGTTGACTTTTTAAGTTTCCTCTTTTTCCTTTATTATGAGAAAAGTAAATAGGAACACCAAATTAGTCTTCTTTATACTGTTCATTAATTTATATATCTTCTCTCACCCTTTTCCTTTCTAGACTAAACAGTCTTAAGTCTTTTTAATCTCTCTCCATGTGAGACAAAAACCCCACATACCTCTGGCCCTCAGCACCCACTCTGTGACTCTAATAATTTGAATTTCCCTTCTCTGAACCTCTTCCTAATTCTGCTGCTGGAATACATTTTTTTAATGAATTTTTTTTCAGTTGTGGAGAGCATTTGGTAACTAAAATTGAAATTTTTCATTTTATTCTCATAATTTCTATGTGTTTTAAATATTTAGCTTGTTCATCTTTTCACCTGACTTTGTTTTGTTAGTGTGTAGTAAATGTGCAAAGAGTTTTAGAATCCTTGTAACACATTTTATTTTAATTGAAATCTGCAGAAGTTGAAGAAGCTCAACAATCAGAAAATACAACAGGACCAGAGTCGAGTGGCCTCTTTGCAGACCAGGACCAGCAACTAACTCGAAGCAGTAGCACTTCAGACATTATAGACCAATTTAGTTCTGATTTTTTTCAAGGTAACTTTTGTGACATTGTCAAGGTTCCTCCCCCATTCTGAACTCTAGGGTACAGATGTGGGGACCTGCATGAAAACCTCCTAAGCTTACTTTTAGCAGCTCAGGTTAAAACTTCCCCAAGGTACAAATTAATTTTATCCTTTGTCCTTGGAATATCCACTGCCACCACCAAATTCTAACTGGGTTTACTGGGAAACGTAGTTTGGACACGTCTTCCCCCCAAAATCCTCCCAACCCTTGCACCCCACTTCCTGGGAAAGGTTTGGTAAAAATCCTCACCAATTTGCATAGGTGACCACAGACCCAAACCCTTGGATCTGAGAACAATGAAAAAGCATTCAGTTTTCTTACAAGAAGACTTTTAATAGAAATAAAAGTAAACAGAAGTAAAGAAATCACCTCTGTAAAATCAGGATGGTAGATACCTTACAGGGTAATTAGATTCAAAACATAGAGAATCCCTCTAGGCAAAACCTTAAGTTACAGAAAAGACACACAGACAGAAATAGTCATTCTATTCAGCACAGTTCTTTTCTCAGCCATTTAAAGAAATCATAATCTAACACATACCTAGCTAGATTACTTACTAAAAGTTCTAAGACTCCATTCCTGTTCTATCCCTGGCAAAAGCAGCATACCGACAGACACAGACCCTTTGTTTCTCTCCCTCCTCCTAGCTTTTGAAAGTATCTTATCTCCTCATTGGTCATTTTGGTCAGGTGCCAGCGAGGTTACCTTTAGCCTCTTAACCCTTCACAGGTGAGAGGATTTTTCCTCTGGCCAGGAGGGATTTTAAAGGGGTTTCCCCTTCCCTTTGTATTTATGACAGACATACAGTGGCTATACTGTATTAAGCTGCCTTTGAATCTCATTAAACTACATTTGTGAATAGGAAGGAAAAATGTCCCATTGCTATTGTATGAATGTGTATTTATGCCATAATGTCTGTTCATTTAAGCTATGGTACAATAAATCCTGTTTTTCAGTGTTCCAAACCCTATTTTATTAAATAATAAATTTAAGTATAACACAATCATGCTCCTAAAATAATACCTCTGAATGTCTCCATCCACACACCCACCCACTGAGGATTTTCAATAGTATGTATATTTCACTTAAAATGTTAGTTTAACCCTTTGAAGATGCATTAAAAATGGCCAAAGAAAGTATATTTAACCTTAGTCTTTGGCTACATTAGAAAAATTAGGATTTAATTTACCAGGGCAGCTCCTAATTCAGCATCACTGGATGCTGTAGTGTAGGTAAGAGCCATTCATTTTTACTATCATACTTTAAAAACAAGTTCTGCTTTAGTGATCATAATTAAAATGTAATTTATCTCTTGCAAAAAAAGTAGTACAATGATTGTATTTTTCTATACTGGAGGACTTGGTAGTGTTAATTAATTTGAACTCTTAACATGGTTAGATGACTTGGTGAACACATTAGAACACTACAGTTTCCACTCCTTGGGCAACCATTGATGAATTGCATGTCCTAATTTTCCATATAGCTGTAAGCTTAGAGTGGTCACCAATAGAACATTAGCACTTCTTGCTACATAAGTAATTGTTTTTGCACATACTCCCCATTGTAGAGGAATACAGTGGTTACATTAATTATGTACTGTTGGTAAACTTAATGAGTTGACCAGTTTTCAAAATAGCTTCAGTGAATTCTTGCTCTTCCCCAGTGTGGACAAGAGCGTTCATACAAACTTCCTGTTTATAATGTTTTGTTTATAGGAAAATATGTTGCAACCTTCCACGTGAGTTAGTTACAGGTGCTTTATACTATGGGCAGGCCTACACTTAAAACACTGCATCGGCTAGATCCCTGCCAACATAAGGCTGTCTACACTGGTGCTTAGGTTGGTGGATTATTCACACCCCTGAGCAGTGTAGTTATATTGAAGTAATTCTACAGTGTAGACCAGGGCTTTAAGTACATTACCAATGATTGAAAGACAGCTATCATTGGCTAATAATTTACCTATATAGTTTTAGAGATGTTTCCTCCAGGGTTTATCTGCTGTGATGCTGACTATACTCTTGGCTACATCCATTTGTGCTCCATTCATCTAAGAAGTGTAGGGAACAGTCAAGCAAACTTTCTTATCTGCCTTATTGAAGGGTCTCATAAATGGACACTGAGCAATTTAGTGAGATATTTGACTTAACTGTATAATTGATTTGCCATTAGCACGTAGCCTGATACTTCATTTCTGGGGAATAGTAGGTAAAATATCGGCAGACAGGTAACATTAGTGGAAATGTGTTGGGAATCTTGAGTGGCCATTCTATGTGCTGTATCTGTTTTGTGGGAAATATAACTTCATTTTCCAGCTCTGTTGTTCCAACACTTTTCACAGGCACTGAATTCTCTTTGACAAGTGTCTTGTTTTTAATTAATTTGTAAAAAATCAATTTGGCTTTAGGCAATTGTCATTTGGAAGTGTAGAATATCATCTGTGTTGAAGCAGAGCTCGTCTCACAATGAAAGCCACTGAAAAATATCTGTGATTGGTGTGTAACTTGTCATTTCCAGTATCTAGCACTGCATTTACATTTCACACACCACAGCTAAAGATTTTAGTTGTATTCCAATAACTGCAGTTTTTTACACTATTTATGAGGGAATTATCCACATAATTGAATGCTTTCACAATATAAATGAGTCCACAACAATCCTACACTATCATATGAGAGTGTCATATTCAATCACTTCTCTGTAAATACTGGAAAGATGAAAAACATGCACATATTTAGTGCTGTTTTGAATCGTTTTAGAATTAGCCCATAGGCTCCATTTCCTTAACTGTCTGTATTTCTTGTCTCATTTGTTTACTTGTTAAAATTTTGATTATGCAGATAAAAAGACTGAGAGTTCGCAGAATTTAAATTGTGTGGATTCCAAATCCATTCAAGACAAGAAAGGATGTATGAAGAAAGAAAATGAAGCCCAACACGTAAGGCAAAATTAATAGACTCTGATCCAAGTTCTAATAATTGCCAAGATCCTAAGAACTTTTTATTTCTAATTATTAATATAAATGTTTACAAAGGATAACAACTGAAATTTTAAGTTTGTGGATCCCATTGATGAAATAGAAATTGGAATTAAACTGTAGCTGTTAATAGCAAGTATTAAGTACATCAGAAGCAGGAAGCCTGCTAAACAACCACTGGGGTCCCTGGACGATCGAGATGCAAAAGGAACACTTAAAGATGATAAAGTCATCGCAGAGAAACTTAATTGAGAAACTTAACAGTAACAAGTCACCAGGGCCAGATGGCATTCACCCAAGAGTTCTAAAAGAACTCAGATGTGAAATTGCGGAACTATTAACTATGGTTTGTAACCTGTCCTTTAAATCAGCTACTGTACCCAATGACTGGAAGATAGATAATGTAATGCCAATATTTAAGAAGGGCTCTAGAGGTGATCCTGGCAGTTACAGACCGGTAAGTCTAACGTTAGTACCGGGCAAAAAAGTTGAAACAATAGTAAAGAATAAAATTGTCAGACATATAAAAGAGCATAAATTGTTGCACAAAAATCAACATGGTTTCTGTAACGGGAAATCATGTCTTACTGATCTATTAGAGTTCTTTGAAGGGGTCAACAAACACGTGGACAAGGGGGAATCCAGTGGACATAGTGTACTTAGATTTCCAGAAAGCCTTGGACAAGGTCCCTCACCAAAGGCTCTTACGTAAATTAAGTTGTCATGGGATAAGAGGGAAGATCCTTTCATGGATTGAGAACTGGTGAAAAGACAGGGAACAAAGGGTAGGAATAAATGGTAAATTTTCAGTATGGAGAGGGGTAACTAGGGGTGTTCCCCAAGGGTCAGTCCTAGGACCAATCCTATTCAACCTATTCATAAATGATCGGGCGAAAGGGGTAAAAAGTGAGGCGGCAAAGTTTGCAGATGATATTAAACTGCTCAAGATAGTTAAGACCAAAGCAGACTGTGAAGAACCTCAAAAAGATCTCATAAAACTAAGTGATTGGGCAACAAAATGGCAAATGCAATTTAATGTGGATAAATGTAAAGTAATGCACATTGGAACAAACAACCCCAACTATACATACAGTATGATGGGAGCTAATTTAGCTACAACGAATCAGGAGAAAGATCTTGGAGTCATCGTGGATAGTTCTCTGAAGAAGTCTAAGCAATATGCAGCGGCAGTCAAAAAGGTAAATGGGATGTTAGGAATCATTAAAAAAGGGATAGAGAATAAGACGGAGAATATCTTATTGCCCTTATATAAATCCATGGTACGCCCACATCTTGAATACTGCGTACAGATGTGGTCCCCTCATCTCAAAAAAGATATACTGGCATTAGAAAAGGCTCAGAAAAGAGCATCTAAAATGATTAGGGGTTTGGAAGGGGTCCCATATGAGGAGAAATTAAAGAGGCTGGGACTTTTCAGCTTGGAAAAGAGGAGACTAAGGGGGGATATGATAGAGGTGTATATAAAATCATGAGTGGTGTGGATAAAGTGAATAAGGAAAAGTTGTTTACTTGTTCCCATAATATAAGAACTAGGAGCCACAAAATGAAATTAATGGGTAGCAGGTTTAAAACAAATAAAAAGAAATTCTTCTTCACTCAGTGCACATTCAACCTGTGGAACTCCTTGCCTGAGGAGGTTGTGAAGGCAAGGACTATAACAGGGTTTACAAGAGAACTGGATAAATTCATGTAGGTTAAGTCTATTAATGGCTATTAGCCAGGATGGGTAAGGAATGGTGTCCCTAGCCTCTGTTTGTCAGAGGGTGGAGATGGATGGTAGGAGAGAGATCACTAGATCATTACCTGTTAAGTTCACTCCCTCTGGAGCACCTGGCATTGGCCACTGTCGGTAGACAGGATACTGGGCTGGATGGATCTTTGGTCTGACCCAGTATAGCCATTCTTATGTTGTTATGAATATTCTGCATCTTCTAATACTATAAGACTGTAACACTCGTTTATGGAAATATTATAATGAAGATTACATAAAGCAACATATAAAGACTGTGTGTGTGTGTGTGTGTGTGTGTGTGTACGTACACACCTCTACCCCGATATAACACGGTCCGTGGGAGCCAAAAAATCTTACTACGTTATGTGAAACGGCGTTATATTGAACTTACTTTGCTCCCCCTGCTCTTTGTCCCCTGACCGCCCCTGCTCAGCTTCCCGCTGCCAGTGAGTGTGGGGAGGTTGGGGAAAGGACGCCCCCCACACCCACCTGCGGCGGGAAGCAGAGCGCCGTGGCTGGGAGCTGGCAGAGTGGAGCAGGCTGAGGCTGTGCTGCTCCACTTCTGCCGCTGCCGGTGAGTGCTGGGGAGGGGGGAATCCTTTCCCTTGAGTGACACGGTCGGGGCGAGGAAAGCGGAGTGGGCTGTTCCCGGCCCTCTGCTAATCACCCGGGCCACTCTGGGCCTGTGGGGCCCCCAAAAGTGCCCCCCCACAGCTCCTGCCTCCCAGACCCTGGGGGTGGGGGGGAGGCCTGTTTACTGTGTTGTATGCGAACCCGTGTTATAATGGGTCGCGTTGTATCAGGGTAGAGGGGTGTGTGTGTGTGTATATATATATAAAAATATATTGGGTAATGAATATATTTATAAGAGTTATAAACTCTGTTTGTTTGATAGATATATATTATTATAAACACAGAGTTTATAACGGTCTTATAAATAAAGTATATTCATTACCAAATTGCATAGTACTTAAACAAATGTTTGATCGTTCATGAAGTGTTCAGAGAAATGTCTTTCTCAGCACAATTTGCACCATCAGCCATTTATTTCAAAACTTTGTGTATGTCAGCATTCTGACTGACAGGTTTTTTTTAATTTTTCATGTTAATTTTGAATAAACAGCAGAAATAATTGATGCTTGAAACTGCTGATACTGTTAGACGTGCAATGCAATATCAAATTGATGAATGTAGTTTGAAACTCTGGTTTGGTCCGCTGCTTTTAAGTGGGTGTAGTCTAAAAGCAACATGGAGACTGCACATTTGGCTCGAGCAAAGTGGGAACACTACGTATTGCTCTGCTGCAGTTTCTTTACCCAATTCAGGCAAAGGCAATGGTGGTGGGAGTAAGAGATTAACCCTCCTCCCCTGCTTTTGTGTTATTGACATGTTGGTCAAAATATTTACCACCTCCTGATAATGCTGCCAACAATATCACATTTCCCACCTTCTTTGCAAGTTGATATTGAGGTTGTGGCCATATTTATTGCATAAATAACTGAAAATATTATGTGAACCAGTGCAAAGCTCAAATATTACTACATGCTGGATTTATCTACTCAACATGAACCTGATTTGGTGGGAAAAACAAAACTGTAGGCAGTCTTCCAAACAGTGCAAGCAACTGCATGTGTCTGTGGAATGAGTGCCAATTCCTTCCCCACAAAAATCAGCTGTGGGGCCACAAGTTCCAGAAAGACAGCCTCGGCAAATGAGTTCATTGCCTCCTGCGTGGCAGTGCTTCAGCCTAAGAAACCAAGTAGGGTGAAAAGTTGGTCATAAGGCCTGATCAATGTATCAAGAACATATAAGTTCTTTTGACATCTAGGTCATCTTTCCTTTTTTAAAAATGAAGAATATTAATTGCAAATACAAAAATACACCTCCCCCCCAGCCCTGTATTGATGCAACATTTTAACTGATAAGTTTTTAACACCCATGTAATCTAGGAAATTTAGAGTTAAAGTTTCCACAGCAACTAACTCTAGTAACATGCTCCTACTCTATGCCTTATGTGATATGGTTTTTTATTAATAGAATCATAGAAATGTAGGACTGGAAGGGACCTCAGTAGGCCATCTGGTCCAGTCCCCTGCACTAAGGCAGGACTAACTATTGTCTAAACCACCCCTGAATAAGTCAGAGTTAGTTTTCAGTGATACTTAGGTATAAAATGTATATGTATCTTAATAGAGGGAATTATTCTAAAATATTATGGGATATATTTTTCAAATTAACCATAAATGAATTGAGAGGAATGCAATTTTATATTTTTTCTGAAGGTTTTAATACGAAGGAGCAGCAGTCCAGCTGAGTTAGATTTGAAAGCAGACTTGCAGCAGTCACATGGAAATCACAGAGAAAGAGAAATGAGTGAGTTCCAGGAAACCAAATTCTTTTTCTAAGGAGTAGTAGTTTGTGGTGGCATGTGCTAATTTGACTTATCACATATATAATATTGATTACTTTTAATCATGTTTTTGAAAATAAGATTTTTTTTATTGTAGAACATTGCTTATGACATTTAGTAATTCCTGCTTACTTTAGGTGAAAGTGTTAGCAGTGACACGTTCATTGGCTACAATAATGAAGTAGAGATCACCCTGGTCCCCTGGCAAACATGTGAAGAAGAACATGAAGTTAATATACCAACAGATGTTTGTGTAGATGCAGATGCACGTCATTGGCTGCAGCTTAGTCCTTCAGATGCTGCAAATTTAACAGGTACCTATGTTCAAGAAAATACAATAGATATTGTAAATTTTTGTCACAAAACGGTAGAACTTACACATGCTAGTTTACACAACTCAATTTGCATGCACTTTTTTGCTTTTAAAAGTGTTTGTTTTAAAGTAGATGAGAATTATTTGACATTACATGTAACCCTAATGGCATAGTTCATCTTTTAAAATAAAACATTGTAAACTCTTAGTAATGCTTCATTTTCTTAATTTTGAATAATATTAATAACACTGTGTACAGTACTAGTGTCTAGAAAGTTAACCCTTCCTCAGAGAATGTGTTAACACTCTTCTTTCACTTCATCACAATGATGTATCAGTTTGATTGCCTAGGTCAAGTGTTGCACAACAAAATATGCACAGACACACACAAAAATGGAAGACCATGAAACAAACCCAGCAAATGTATACTATATGTTGTTAAATGAGGGACAATTCTGGAAAAACATGATAGTGGAAAGAATGTCAGACATCACTAGTATCTCAAAGGGAAGGACCTCTCCAAGTTCCTTCTTTGTGCTCTGGTTATCTTTCATCTTGAGGTGTGGTAGTGACATAAGTAATTAGATATTTAGAAAGTGGAGAAAGATCTGTAGTCACAAAAATATCATCCAAGAGTTAAGAAACTGGGTCTACTAGAGTTAAAATTGGCAGTAGAACTTAATATCCTACTATTTAATTATATTAGATACCATTTTAGAATCATAGGAATGTAGGGTTGGAAGGGATTTTGAGAAATCATTAAGTCCAGGTCCCCGCCCTGAGGGAAGGACCAAGTAAACCTAAACCATCCATGACAGGTGTTTGTCCAACCTGTTCTTGAAAATCTCCAATGATGGGGATTCCTCAGCTTCCCTGGGAAGCCTATTCCACAGGTTAACTATCCTTATAGTTGGAAAGCTTTTCCTATTATCTAACCTAAATCTCACTTGCTACAGCTTAAGCCCATTACTTCTCATCCTAGCTTCAGTGGACACAGGGAATAATTGATGATATCACTGAGACACTTTTGAAAATCCAATATTTAGTTAATATCTCTTCCAGCCTGCCAACTCTTGAAATGTGTCATATTTTAATGAGAAGCAACTAATATATTTATGAAGATTTAAGAGAGAGGTTGTCTGTACACAAGGGCAGGTATTTGGTAGCTTTGTAGTGTAGCTTTGGAGATTACAGAACAAAGTTCTTATGGCCTATGATAGGTAACTGGTATAAAAATAGAAGACTGAAATGGTAGTTAACTTCTGTTTCATATAGAAAGCAGTAAGGGAGCAAAACTAAAGACATGTCAAGGGCCTATACAAAGTTCCTTCCAAAGGTTATCAAAGAATATAGCAGTATTGACTATACTTCCATGCTTTTGTTCCATGCTTTTCATTTTCTGTCTCTTGTTTCCTTCAGATAGAAACTTCATTACCACTTTACTTTCATAGATTTCATTTGTTGGAGATTAGAAAGATTTTATAAGTAAATAAGGGGGAAAATCCTACTTGCTAGCCATGATTCTTTTTCCTGAATGTACTATTCTTCAGTTGCTGCTGTTTCCTCATGACAATGATTTTCTCAAGATTAAGCATTTGGAATCCATGTCTCCAAGCTTTTGCTGTGAATGCTGAATCAGAAATGGGAATTGCAGACTCCCTTTATTAAAGGATTTAGAAAGTCAGACTGAAGATAATGGTAAATTGTAATTCAGTATTTATACTCTCTGAAACAATCACTCTATAGGTATAATCTTTGTCCAGTTGAAGTCAGGAGCAAAAATCTTACTGATCTGAGGGAGGAGCAGGATTTCACCCTCTATGTTGTAGTTTTTTTTATAGTATTGTGCATATGCTTTAATTATCTAGCAGTCTGCAGTGTCATTAGGAAATACATTAGAATATGGACCTAATGAAGGGAACACCCTAAGAAAAGTCAGTTTGTTAGTAATTTTCCTTTACCTTTTTCATTTTAATTATTGTAACTTTGACATATAGGACTCATTATTTATGACTATGTATTGTATTCTTTTGGTGCTTTTGTTCTTTGTAAAGGCTACTTTTCATCTAATTTTTAAAAAGTGCATCATAGATTTTATTTCAGTAACTTAATCAGGTAACATAAGAATTTTTCTGGTAGGCTATTTTCTATAATGAGATATATAGTTTCAGGGTTATCTACTCCATTTATTCAATTATTCTTTGAAATACTACTAACATAATGAATAAGTTCATCCAGTTCAATAGTTCAGCTTGTCATCGGTACAAAGGGAAATTGTAATATAACATATGTTAAGGATTATTACCTATGTGAAGAAGACAAATTGCTAGCTTGCTTTCTATCCATAATACAAGAACTTTGCTCTTTGCATATGCAAAAGAAAACTATTTTTATAAAATAATTTGATCATTAATCTAGAGCAGAAAGGCAAATGTAGTAATAAGATTGTAATTACCTAACAGAATGAGTGTGCATAACTGTATTTCTCATGTTGAGAGAGTGTTAGTCATGTTAAATATTAATATCTTTCTTTCTTTGAAACCATTTTTAGATTTAGTGGGGCTCAGAAATTCCAAGGTTTAATTCTTTGAGTTAACTTCATTTTCTTCTGTCTGATGTAAAGTTTTGAGTTCATGCAGAAAGGACGGAGGATTTGGCCTTTCATATCCTTTGAGTGATTCAGGTTTCCTTGTCAAAGCTGGAAACTTCTGTAGAGCTGGCTCCCTGAGACACCCCATTCTGCTATGACACTACAGCTCCCTCAGAACTTCTGAGGGTTTTACTGACCAACCAGCATATATTAATAATGCATCATAATTCTTGGGGGATGATGCTGCAGAGAGCATCCCTCTCCTAAACTGACTACCTCCCAATGTGCAGAGCCCCTACTCTGTAGTGCATCTGCTTTAATGGCTTCTGTTGGCTGGGGAAAGAACAAGAGCATGCTGTGGAACTGTTGCCATTACTCCTTTGGAGTTTCCACTGTAAATACTCCTGTTTTAGCTCCCCTCTGTGCACTGTAGTGAAGGAGACAATGTGATCAATTTCAATAGATACAGTAAAATGATGCATCTAATTGGAGCTCATTTATGGTTTTCAGTTTATGTTTTGGCTATTTGGGTTAATTTTACTTAGTGTTTTCATTAATACCTGTTTCTCCAAAGGTAAGTGTATTTGGGCTTGCGATTTAAAAGTTCTCTCAAGCTAAACTTGCAGTTTGTTTGTAGAAGCCTCTAGTGCTGGTGTTGGGTAAGAGTGTGTAATCGGTGGTAATAAACCAATCAGAAAAGAGAAATAACATGAAAATAGCAAGGACAGTAAAAGTTATACTAATTTAAAGTTCATGCATGCATATTGTATGAGTTCTTGGAGTGATCGCACATGGCCATTCCACTGTAAGTGTGTGTGCTCCTTGTGCACAGAGGTCAGAGATTTTTTTCCCCTCAGCAGTACCAATCAGGTGGCTTGAGCACTTTGTGTTGCCACACGCCGCTACACACTGGTATAACAGGGTGGGGCCACCCCCGACTCCCCTCAGTTCCTTCTTAACACCAGTGATGGTGGTTGGAATGATCTTGGTCTTATTAACTCAAGTGCCTTCCTCTCTCTTTGTAGATAGTTGCAGTTAGTTATGGTTGGTTGGTTTGTTTTTTTGTTTTTTTCTTAAGTAAATTAACATTAGGTTTCTATGCTTGTATCCATTTGGACCAGTTTTCCTCTTTTGGTACTGTGCTCGGTACCAAAAGGATGCCTTGCTCCCCAGGATTAAGTCCTGTGAGATTTGTTAAAAGCCTATGCTGGTCAGTGATCCCCATCTGACCTGCTTAAAGTGCTTGGATGAAGCCCACATTAAGCCCTGCTCGGAAAAGGATACACTCCAAAGGATGCATTTTAAGTGAAAATTTAATTCTGCGGTAGAAATCACCTTTACAAAGACCTACCCAGCAAAGGTTCCAGGAATCCCACTTGTCATTCTTCCTTGATGTTTTCTATAATTGGCTTCCGTGTATGCCTGTCTGCATTGTTTAATAACATAGTCATGTTAATTCCCAAACAAATGAAGTTTTTTATTACCCATTTAAACTCTCACAGCATAAACATGGTGGAATTGTAGGGTTTTTTGCTAATTGAGAATGATTTAATTTATATCCAGAAAAATCTCGTCTTCTCCATGATGATCTAAGTGATAGAAATAGTTTTACATGGATTTCTTACTAATATTAGCGTGTCATCCCCTTGCAGTGTAATCCCTGACATAGCCTTCTACTTCTGCTAGTAATTGATAAGTGAGAATGGTGCTTAAGGGGCAATCCTACCTAGTGAAATAAGGAAAAAATGAAATTGTAAACATTTTGTATGTACCACCACTTCACGGCATGAATAAATCATTGTAATCAAATACCTACACTTTGAATCCAGAGCAAATTATTTAGGAGACTCTCGATACTGCTGTTAAACCCTAATAAAAGCCTTCTCTAATTACATGACCATCAGTGACTACAAATTATTCTTTCTGTCATGTAGTGTGCCACTATCTGTAGATACTACCCATTTCTTCTGTAGAATAATTAATGAAGCTTAGTTTCCCTTTCATTTTGCCTAATGTGCTAGCCATGATTTTAGTAAGTAGTAGTCTGTGTTTTAATAATGAAAATCATTATTTTACTGTCTTGAATCTTTGTGTTTTCTGAATGGGGAACATCACACAATACTTGGGGTATTAGGTAAAGTTTATTTTTTCCTAACTAAATTAATTGTACTGGAGTAAAAAATTCCCATATTTGACTTCTAAACTTATAAAGAAAGCATTTGTTTGTTCCCATTATTCCCTCACTGCATCTAAGGGAATGCAAATGGCTAAATGTCTTTATGATGTTTTATTTCTGAGTTTCAAATGCCAATCATGTTGGAATTAGAAAAGAAGAGACTGGATGAGGATACCTCACAATAGGAAGTTCAAGAGGCTATAAAAGGGCCAAAATTGGATGGAGCTCCAGGAGAAAAGATGACTTGGCAGGGCAATTTTACCAATTATCTGTAGAAACATTCCTTGAGAAAGGTGTTGCTCTGAATATATATTTTGCATAATGAATGCTTAAATTCATAGCTCAGAACTTTTTTCATAACCATTACTCCCTTGTTTTATATGAATGATTGTTTGGGTTTTGTGGACCACAGATAGACTACCCACTGCATTTATAACTGATGGAAACCAATTTTTTTTATTCTATAGACAGCAGCGAGTTCCTTGCTGATGACTGCAGTATAATTGCTGGTGGAAACCTCATAGGTTGGCATCCTGATTCAGCTGCTGTATTATGGAGAAGGATCTTGGGAATTCTTGGAGATGTGAATAATATCCAGTCTCCTAAAATCCATGCCAAAGTTTTTGGGTATCTCTATGAACTATGGTACAAACTGGCAAAGGTATTGTGTTTAATGTGTTTTATTCTAATGCAAAGAGAGTGATTTTGTATTTGCTATAAAAATTAATTTATATTCTAATAAAAGTTTACTAAGCAGTAAAATAGATTTTTTATTAGAATATTTAAGGAGTTTCAACTGCTCATGCTGGTTCTTTTAGTGATACTGTAACTTTAACAGTGAATAAATCAATAAAGTGTGGTGTTTGGAGGGAAAGGTTATATTGTAAATAAAGAAAAAGGATGTTCAAATTTCAGTAAAAACAACTAATAAAAGACAATTTTGTGCAGTAACAAAAAGGATTTAAATTAGTATATTCTGAGATGGTAAAATAGTGAAATAGAAGCAATGAATTGAAAGTACAAAATAATCCACAAATGTTGGGAGTTAGTGTAAATTTCCACAGTACAACCTTAACATGATAATATTTGATTAGGATGGAAGAATACTACCACACACTTTTCTGTTGAATTTGAGTTCATTGGAAAGTGTGTGTGGGTGTGTGTATGTATGTGTTTGCAAGAGAGAGAGAGACAGACAGATGACAGCACTTCCAGTAGAAAGGCTGGGAAGTAATCATGTATTGTAAATAATACTCATTTTAATGTATTAAATATTATTTTGTTAATCCCCTCCCTTTTCTTTTTAAATCAGATAAGGGACAATCTTGCTATAAGTTTGGACAACCAGTCTACACCTTCTCCTCCTGTTTTAATTCCACCTCTCAGAATATTTGCAGCATGGTTGTTCAAGGTAAATTAATTTTAAATTCTGCGCAGAGTAGTATTTTACTGCATGTCTATATTGAATCACTTAATGGCATTTTTACAGTGTTTCTTTCTGCAATCCTTGTTCTAGATGTATTAGAAAAATAATCAGCGTCCACCCTTTAGCTATACTTTTGTCTAGAACAGCTAAGCGGCTCTTGAGAATCCATATTTAGAATGTGGCTTCAAAACATTTATTGGCAAGTATACATACAGTATACATACAGTTGGTTGCTGTTTGTCTGTTAATAAAAATTCTCTGCTCTTTTCAGGCAACAACCTTGCCAAATGAATATAAAGAAGGCAAACTTCAAGCATACAGGTTGATCTGTGCTATGATGACTAGGCGCCAAGATGTTTTGCCAAATTCTGATTTCCTAGTGCATTTTTATCTCGTGATGCACATTGGCTTAACTAGTGAAGATCAGGTAAAAGCTTGACTTTTCTTTTTAAAGTAATTTAATTGCATTTACTGTATTTACTACTGCATTTACACATTTTTACTACATTGTTTTGATGGCGAAGCCTGGATTAGCAAATTTGAAGCTGTGAAGTTGGAGGGAAATGGCTGTAACACAAACTAAAATAAAGTATGGGCTAGAAATTATTTATCCTATAGCCTAAACGATTCTTCTCCCTATTTGTGTATTGTATATTTGCCTCCTTTTCTGTTCTCCCAATTTTTGTTCTTTCCAGCTTGTAAACTTTCAAACTGCTGCTGGTGTGCTTGTTTCATCAGTAAGAATAATTGTTGTTTTTCAAGTCATGTCCCTGTGGGCGCTCCACTTCAGCTGCGCATCCACCTTTGATTGGAGAATTTTGGTAGCAGTGCCCTTTGGGCTCACGCATGCGACTTACGCATCCTTGTGCCCCATACAGAGGTTATACAGGGATGCGTGGGCAAACTGCTCTCAATTTCTTCTCAGTCTCCTCCTGGGAGAGATGGAATTTAGTGTGCCCCTTTTTCCTCTTTTATGAGTATTCCTAGCATTATTAGTTCTTAGCAGCAGCAGCAGTAGTAGTAGTACGTTTACCTCCTTATAGCTTTTGGAATGTTTGTTCACATTTGTTTATTTCTTTTCTTTAAAAAAAATACATTTTTGTTTGTGTTATCCCTTATTGAGGGGCCCTAATGGACTTGATTCTATCTGGAATGTTGGACTCCTCAGGGTTTAAAAGATGCCTCTCTTGTCAACAAGCAATCTCTGTCAGTGACGGGCAATCTCAGTGTATTAGTTGTTTGAGAGACTCATATTCCCAGCAAATGCAAGATCTTAGCTTCTGTTCAGGGAAGATCCTTTAAGAGCAAGGGAAAACATACTGGCTCTTAATAATGGAGCAAGCCTTAAGACTGGCTTCTGTCCTGGCTGCAGAGAAATCCCTCTGTACAGAGACCCTCTACTTCTGTCAGTGCCCTGTCAATGTCAAGATCATGGTCACAACTCATGAGAGCTTCCAAGGTGAAGATGGCATTGAAACCCTGATCTCCGACATTGTCCATGAGTGAGGTACCGACAACGGTGCAGGGGGTACCGAGAGCTTCCCACTCAGACTAAAGAGGGCAATAAGAGGAGCAGAATAGAGAATTTCTCCTCAAAGACGACTTGGTCACTAGAGACTTCAGGCCCCAAGTGGAGTGCTAATGAGGCTGTGAGAACTTCAGCCACTGCAAAGCACTGTAAGATGTCAACTAAGTCCCATACCTCAGCAGTAAAGGACTCTATAGTGAAGAATAATATGAGCAACAAAGCGGTTTCAATGGAATCTGTGATTCCCCTCAATACCGACATCAGTGCCTTGGACAATGGCATCCAGAACATAATTGGTGCCTGTACCAAGTTCTGTTGTGCTCCCAGTACTGTGGGAATATTGGTACCCAAAAGACCTCATGGTACTGAGTGAACCTGAATCTCTACAGCTTGTGACCTCCAGACATCTCTCGGTACCAAGGTCTGCTGGGTCACCAACTGCTCATGTTGCTGTGAAACTTGCCTCTTCCACAACTTCTGTTATCCATGACGAGGGGTTGTCAGCTACGATACAATATGTGGAGGAGCATTCTGACTCAGACTCTGAATTTTCTGTTCAAGGCTTTCCAGTTTATTCCAGGAGACTTTATTTCTTGATACAGATTGCGACAGGTTCGGGCCAGATGGCTGTAGGAGAGTAATAGAAGGCAGATATATTAGCCCCAGGTTAAGTAGGTCCCTTTTCCCTGGGTAAGGTAACAAGGAAGGTTCCAGACCAATCAGGAACCTTCTGGAGACAGTTAAGACAGGCTGATTAGAACACCTGCAACCAATCAAGAAGCTGCTAGAATCAATTAAGGCAGGCTAATCAGGGCACCTGGGTTTTAAAAAGGAGCTCACTTCAGTTTGTGGTGTGCATGTGAGGAGCTGGGAGCAAGAGGCACTAGGAGTTGAGAGTGAGAACGCGGACTGTTGGAGGACTGATGTGTACAAGCATTATCTGACACCAGGAGGAAGGTCCTATGGTGAGGATAAAGAAGGGAGGAGGCCATGGGGAAGTAGCCCAGGGAGTTGTAGCTGTTGCACAGCTGTTCCAGGAGACACTCTAGACAGCTGCATTTCACAGGGCCCTGGGCTGGACCCTGGAGTAGAGGGCGGGCCCGGGTTCCCCCCAAATCCTCCCCAACTCCTGGTCAGACACAGGAGGAGTTGACCTGGACTGTAAATTCAGAAAAACAGCCAAGCTGAGAGCTGTCATGAAGCTCCAAGGCGAGTAAATCCACCAAGAAGCACAAGACCCACCAAGGTAGAGCAGGAACTTTGTCAGAAGATGCAACAAAGGCAGGATAAGAGACCCCTGGCTACTAAGACTTGGGATGACCAATGTTGGATACCTTCCCCCATGCCTTGTGGTCCTTCTCATTGGCCTAATTGGGGTCCATGGGCAGTGTACCACCAGCAGTTTCGGGGGACCCTGATTCAGTCCCATAAGGAACACAGAAGACCACGTTCCCTGGTATTGTCTATCCCTGCTCTCCACTTTTAGCTAGAAGAGACATTTGAGAAGCAAGAGGCAAGGGCAGCCAAGGAGATTACCCCTTTATAAACATCTTGTAATCGTCACCTCAAGAGGCAGTCATGACACCACTGCCATGATTAGCTGATGACTTTGTGCAATTCCAGGACCTGGTGAAGTGTGTCCCTGACACCCTGTAGATTCCCCTGGAAGAAATACAGGAATCCCATCGTAAGCTCCTGAACATATTACACACTTCTACTTCAGTACAGGTGGGACTGCCAGTTAACAAAGCCATTCCTGAGTCAGCCAAGACCGTGTGGCAAACTCCAGCAATCCTCCCCCCCCCGGTGTGCCAATAAAATGATTTAAAAAATTACTATGTCCTGGGCATGGATTCTGAATTTTTATTTTCTCATCCAGCACCAAATTCTCTGGTCATGGATGCAGTAAATGAAAGGGGCAGGCAACATGCCCCAAAAGCCACACCTTATAAGGACTGGAAATATCTGGACCTTTTTGGTGATAAGAGCTACTCATCAACAACGTTACAGCTCATGATAGCTACCCACCAGCACTGATGTCAAAATATGGCTGCTTGAACTACAAGAAGTTTAATGCTTTTATTACCATTTCCTACAGGAACACCAAGAGCAGTTTAGCACCATAATAAAGGAGGATCAGCTTTTGGCAAAAACATCTCTGCAGGCTTCACTTGATGTGGTGGACACTTCAGCCAGGTCTATTTCCACAGCCACTGCAATACTCATGAAAAGTGCTTCCTGGCTTCAGCTGTGTGAAGTACAGTTGACGGAGGAAAGTTTACCTTTCGATGGGCACAAGTTCTTCGTGGACTGCAAAGATGATTTGCTTTATACCCTAAGTGACTCTAGGGCAACACTCAGGTTTTCAGTGATATGCACACCTGCAAATAAGAGAAAATTTAGCAGGTCTCAGTTGACACAAAGATCCTGCCCTGTTCAATTTTCCTCCTTCTGCGGGCCACCAGCTAAGAGCTCAAGATTTTCAAAGAAGAAGCCTTAACGCTACATCAGCTGCTTCATCCCAGGCGTCAGCATCATCTAAACACCACTTTTGATGGTTTATCACAGAATATCAGGGTTGGAAGGGACCTCAGTAGGTCATCTAGTCCAACCCCCTGCTCAAAAGCAGGACCCATCCCCAATTAAATCATCCCAGCCAGGGCTTTGTCAAGCCTGACCTTAAAAACTTCTAAGGAAGGAGATTCCACCACCTCCCTAGGCAACGCATTCTAGTGTTTCACCACCCTCCGAGTGAAAAAGTTTTTCCTAATATCCAACCTAAACCTCCCCCACTGCAAACATTGAGACCATTACTCCTTGTCCTGTCCTCTTCCACCACTGAGAATAGTCTAGAACCATCCTCTCTGGAACCACCTCTCAGGTAGTTGAAAGCAGCTATCAAATCCTCCCTTGTTCTTCTCTTCCGCAGACTAAACAATCCCAGTTCCCTCAGCCTCTCCTCATAAGTCATGTGTTCCAGACCCCTAATCATTTTTGTTGCCCTTCGCTGGACTCTTTCCAATTTATCCACATCCTTCTTGTAGTGTGGGGCCCAAAACTGGACACAGTACTCCAGATGAGGCCTCACCAATGTCGAATAGAGGGGGACGATCACGTCCCTCGATCTGCTCGCTATGCCCCTACTTGTACATCCCAAAATGCCATTGGCCTTCTTGGCAACAAGGGCACACTGCTGACTCATATCCAGCTCCTCGTCCACTGTCACCCCTAGGTCCTTTTCTGCAGAACTGCTGCCTAGCCATTCGGTCCCTAGTCTGTAGCTGTGCATTGGGTTCTTCCGTCCTAAGTGCAGGACCCTGCACTTATCCTTATTGAACCTCATCAGATTTCTTTTGGCCCAATCCTCCAATTTGTCTAGGTCCCTCTGTATCCTATCCCTGCCCTCCAGCGTATCTACCACTCCTCCCAGTTTAGTGTCATCTGCAAACTTGCTGAGAGTGCAATCCACACCATTCTCCAGATCATTAATGAAGATATTGAACAAAACCGGCCCCAGGACCGACCCCTGGGGCACTCCACTTGACACCAGCTGCCAACTAGACATGGAGCCATTGATCACTACCCGTTGAGCCCGACAATCTAGCCAACTTTCTACCCACATTATAGAGCATTCATCCAGCCCATACTTCTTTAACTTGATGACAAGAATACTGTGGGAGACCGTGTCAAAAGCTTTGCTAAAGTCAAGATACAATACATCCACTGCTTTCCCTTCATCCACAGAACCAGTAATCTCATCATAGAAGGCGATTAGATTAGTCAGGCATGACCTTTCCTTGGTGAATCCATGCTGACTGTTCCTGATCACTTTCCTCTCATGTAAGTGCTTCAGGATTGATTCTTTGAGGACCTGCTCCATGATTTTTCCGGGGACTGAA